AAAACAAAAAACGATTTTAAAATGGCTGACAATCGGATACTTGTTAATAATGGCGGATTTCTGTGTCCGACTTAATATGAACTACCAATATAATATATAATTCCAACGTACGCCACGTAAAATTTGCGATCGGCCGGCATACGTAGGAGCATCCGTCGTCGGCCACAGAGCATATAGTTTTTCGTATTCCTGGTAAACGATTCTCGACGTTATCTGTTATTGGTCTATGATAGGTCAATTGTTTGTTGTCAAAAAACGTTTGACGGTTGACGGTTCAACGGTTTCGTAGGCGTAACCTCACTTTGCGTATCAGTGATTTGTGGATTTGTACAATTATATTTTAGTTTTTGTTTTCTCCTTAAAAGAATTGGCAGCCACTTTTTTAAGATAGTATATATACAAAATTTAAAAGACCAAACCTCACATGTGGGAGGAGGATGGGGTCTGCTGGTTTCCTAAGCTAAAAAAAGATATTAAGATGCACCAGTGTAATGCAGCATCTCTTCCGGATTATTACCTATTAAGTTTTTACCACTACTTGAACGAGGAGAATGCGTGGTATTAAGACCACAAACAGAAGTATTGTATACCTACCTGTTCTGGCTGATGTACAGTCTCCTCTGCATTGGTGGGTGGAGGCAAGACATCACTACTACTATTATTATTTTGCAAAAGCCTCGACCTCTTTCTGTAAAATGTAGATGAATGTCTAAATGCCTTTATAGTGTTTTTTTTAGGCATAATAAAAAAATTAAGTTTGTTTACAAAAACTTTTTACTAGGTTATGTTCATGATGTTCATTAGGCCGCATATGCTACTTAATGGGTTGTATTTACGGACGATAAATAGAGATACGTAAATTAGGTTATAAATATGAACATAAAATACAACAAAATATAATTGGACGTTACTTTAGGGATTATGAGTGAGACGTAACCTATTCGGACAACGGATTGACGTCGGTCTAGTTCAAGTATATGTACGTCGTGCAAGCCAACGTGGGAACGACGTTGGTAAATTAATAAAAATGGTACGTTGTTATTTTTTAAGTTGACAGATCGTTGGATTTACCGACTCGGATCCATCAACGTACGTCGCTTTTAATAGGAAAGCGACGTCACCGGTCGTATCACCAGCACCCGACCTAAATTTGCACAAAGTCGCTTCAGGTCAGATTTAGTTCGAAGTCGGATAGATGCTACTTGGGTTACTTTGAAACAAACATACTTTATAATAAAAAAGTACCTAATGGACACACAATTGATTAAAAACTATCGATACTTTTTTAAAAGGAACGTCCCTAGAAGCTGTTGCTCTTGCTAAAGCGCCGTAACAGTAAAATATGTTTTCTCAAAGCTCGATTGTCACAAATCGAATGAATTAAAATTTTTGTGGGGAAATTTCTTAGCGGTATTTTAGCACACAACTCGAGATGCCACAAATCTGCTTCTTGCGATTCTACTCTCACTGCTGACCGAATCATAGAAACCTATGCGTTGATTATGAGTAAACAAGCGAATTTTGTTTAGAAAGAAGATGAAAGAGACATGCATTAATATGCAGTGGGATAAAATCTGAAGAAACGCGAAAAAATAAAATTTAATATGGTTTGCCTGTATAAAGTAATTGATTATAGAAAGATTAAAAAAGAATAGGCTATATCCAGACACACAAATCTATTTCCAAAAATTATCTTTTTTTCTCGAATTCTGAACTACACAGCTTAAAAGTCATTTTTACTCAATATAAAAATATATTATAGCATTCTTAAAGCCAACTGGCAGTAAGCGCCAATAAAAAATAAAGAAGAGTACCTACGAGCCAAGTAGTCATCGTCTAGAGCTTGACCTCGCCAAAATTACCATCGATCGTCATTCACCAGCCGTCTTTGACGCCGTTTTTTTCAATCGCATGGCAGTAATGCATCAGCATAGGTATTCCAATAATTCAAATCGTCTCATTCAAAATTTTCTTACACAATCTGTATTTTTAAGTTTTGTTTGATAGCTGAAACAATTCATATAAGCAGCGTTGCCAACTCTCTGAAATAATTTTTCCCACGAAGACGGTCAAAATTTACCTTTTTTTTTAAATTCCCAAGAGTTCTCAAATCCAATTGTGTTATCGAATGTAATACCACAAAATGTTTCGGGATTACCGAATAATACTTTTACCTGACACGAAATGCGTTATCCGGCAACACTACGACTCGGAAGGAGGATGGGAAATATGGCCACCAAGCGATAATCACTTAAATGAGTAATAATCAGTTATTAATCACATTCTTCTATATAGAAAAAATATACATAGAGTTGTATAATCAAAACAATATTATAGATATTATGTTCTTTAACTAAAAAGTTAAAAAAATTCAAACAAATTTAGAAATATACTTTTCAATTATTTTTTTGCGCAAAAAAACTCATAGACGTGCTCCTATATAGTGGAGGAATGGAAACGAAAGGTATAGTGAGAATCAACCTTAAAGAGGTTGCACTCTATTTAGTAAAACAGTTAATTAAAATAGTAATTATAATAAGAAATTTGGTTCTTAAAGCCCTTTCTTACAATAGATCATTACTATGAGCTAACAAAACATTTGACCGGCAATTTTGAGTAAGAGTAAAACACCTGCTAATAAACAGAACATACAGTAGTAGTTTTCACTCTCTATTACAATACAGACAAATCGAAAGGCATCGTAAACGGCAGAGGTTTATGTACTATTTTCATTAAAAATCATTATATTCTACATGGCAACCGAAACTAAAGAGTAAATAGTAATTCTGACGACATAAATATCTAAATATGGTTGTTATATTGTCGCAATGACTATTACAATATAGGTATTAACTGCAATTGACATCTAATATGGCCAAAGCCTATAGAAATTGCTACTTGAACATTTGTTATATTGCAATAACGTATATATATTGTCATTTTCTTTAGAGTTGCAATTGCAGACAGTTATTGTAATAAATGTCTTTGAAACTATTAGATGTGTAAACGTTTGGTATGTCTTGAGAAATGGACAAAATTGTTAAATATAATTAATTTTAGTACAAAAAAATACCTACTTATTATACTTATTATACCCGCATAAAATATACGAATATGGGACACCCTGTAGAAAGTGGATTTGATTCTTTACTGTAAAGGCATCGTAACTGAAATTTTAATCCGGTTTTAGTACTCGTTTTATTACTTTAATTATAATAACATGGCTTTAACTAATTTCTTACCAGACAAGTCTAGCAATTGCATGTCTTAGTTTATGCAATATTATAATGTCTACGTGACAATTTACAGGGTTTATTAATTTTTGTTTCATTAAGCCATATAAAATATGTTAGAGCAATTTCAAAATATTATGAAGTCACTCTAAACACAGAATATCTAGCTACGCAACAGAAAAATACTCGAAATGAAAGAGCTAAAATTGCACAAATAGAATACTAGATGGCGCGACAATATCATAATCAGAATATAATTAGAAATTTTGAACTTTCGATTTTGGATCGACGGCTCGTCGACTGCCTTGTAGCTCGGCTAAATATGCACAGTTGCCAGATTCAAAAAGAGTTGAATTGGAATTGGCATCCCATTCTTTTTACTGTGTATAATTAATGCAGTATATGTTTCTTTCTATTCTTCTTTTCTTGTCAGATACACTTATATTATTAATTATTCCTTTGGCTATTAAAATAGTTTTAAGTATATTATTACAAAACATATACATTTTTAATATACACTACCTTATAATGTTAACTAAGAAAATACCTTTAATTACCTTTAAAATTAATAATATACAGGGCGATTGATAGTGATATTTATTAATGCTGGAACGTTAGTAATGAAATATAAGTTTAATATTAATGGAAATAATTTATTAAAATGCAGTACAAAAAATGTTAACTGACTAAAAAATACTATAATAACAAATTTCTTCCGTTTGCCACGTTATTTATATAGACCTAGGTAGATTTTAAAAAGTGACACAGGTACAATTAATAATATATTAGTTCGGCATAAAAGTTGCTGTCACGACATCGAACAATAAATTAAAATTCAATGTCACCGAAAATACGTAGTATCTCAAGTTTAAGCCCAATCGAACACCATGTACGTAATAGAGTACTATATTATGGTACCAGTTGATATGCTTTAAGGTACCATAATATTGCAATGTCACCGAAGATCCGTAGTAGGTATACCAAATTAGTATACCAAGTTTAAGCCCAATCGAACGCCAGGAAATGGTATCGTAATATGGTACTATATTAAGGTACCACTTTATATGCATCATAGTACCATCATATTACAATGTCACCGAAAATACGCAGTATCCCAAATTTAAGCCCAATCGAACGCCATGTACGTAATATAGTAATATATTATGGTGCCAGTTGATATGCTTCATGGTACCATAATAATGCAATGTCATCAAAAATACGCAAGTATATATGAAATATGAGCTCAATCGAACGTCAGGAAATGGTATTGAAATATGGTACTATTTTAAGGTGCCACTTTATATGCATCATAGTACCATCATATTACAATGTCACCGAAAATACGTAGTATACCAAGTTTAAGCCCTATTGCCGCCATGTACCTAATATTGCTATGTCATCAAATATGGTACTATAGAAAGTACCACTTTATATGCTCCTTGGTACCATGAATTACAATGTCACTGAAGATGAAGAATGTCACTGCGTAGCTAGATATTCTGTGCTCTAAATCAAACTGTGTTTTTAGATTTTAGTTTTGGATGTTATAAAAATTCTTGACAACATGGTGAAAGAAAAATATGTGTTATTTTGGTATCGACTTCGTATCAAACTCAAATGTTTGCCATTTTACTTTTTGTTTAAATATACAAAATTTTGCTACTTTTATACTACTATATTATGTCTTAAATAATAGATATTGTAAAATATAGTTACAGATTATTATTTAGTAATATTGTGAGAAATAAACAAGTAATATTTTTTCAGCAAGAACTGGTTAATGGATATGGCTATCCATTCGAAGAGCACGAAGCGGTCTCAGAGGATGGCTATATTCTTAGTTTGCACAGAATACCCAGGAGCAAAAGTACAGATAAAATTCGTAAACTCAGAAGGCCCGTAGCTCTGTTTCAACATGGATTACTAGCGTCATCAGACGCATTTCTTTTTAAGGGACCAGAACATGATTTACGTAAGATAATTATTTATGGAAAATATATAGTTTTAGTGATTTAATTTATTGATAGTTTTACATATTGTCAAATTTATAGTGTTATATTGTTGTTAATTTTAACCCTATTTTCATGATTTTTTTCAGCAAACTGTATATAATTATATCAACTTTAGTATTTGGCATATTATACAAGGTTAATCGAGGGGTTGTTTTTAACCCTAACTTTAAAACACCCTGTGCAATAATTTCTTTGTAAATTTTCCTAAAATATAATTTTACGGTCAGAACCATGACTCCTGAGAATTTTGTTTTTTGATTCATGTCAATACATGCTTTGGTTAATTTTTAAGAGCGAAATGAACTGATCATGATCAATTTGCAATTGTTTCAATTATAATCACTTTTTGATGTAATTTTTTAATATTACGTTGTAACAGTCAAATTTCCTCGCTACGACCTCTGTGTGCTAGCTCATAAATTATCGCAAATAACTATTATTTTTGCATCATCTTTACTATAATTTTATTGTTAAATATTATTTTATTTAAATTTTACAGTTATGCAACCCGATATACACCGCGATATACAGCCACAGCTACACAATATTGTCACTGAACCAGTCACACCAGCAGTAGTAGGCTTTTTGTCCATCTCTCTATATCTTTGATCATCACCTCCGTCACTTGTCACTGTCAGATCAAATCAGATGTTTTTGGATTTATTTATCCTTTGTTTTGGTTATTGAAATTTTATAATTATCAGATAAAATTTCGTAGTTAAATTGGTTATTTTTGATGTGGATCGCAGTGTGCAATTCGTTCTTTTAATTGTGGAATTTAGTTCGTTCATTGACCGGATATGGAATATGGCTGAGGAGAAAATATTCTAGAACATTGTTTTTTATTTATGCCTTTTTGTGAGTTGGACTAGTCAAGATATATAGTTCTCTATCTATATCCTGGAGGGATATTTCCGGTTGAAATCTGATTTTGTGAAGGAAATCGAATCCTTGCATCACTTCTTGTGTATCCACCGATCGAAGAGTATCGTCGTGAAAAACTGGCTGCCGTTCCGTGAAGCATTCCCTGTTGGTGATTAGCAGGTCTTCCTAGTGAAGGATTAAGTCTTCCGGAACACATTTGGTCAGAGACGTGGTTGTATTTAGTGGGATTTACCGACCGATATTCCGATTGCACGTGCCCAAGAAGTCCCCGAATAGTTCCAAGGTATGCTATAATTCTTCTGCCTATTCTAAGTCAATGTTCAACTGATTTTTGTTCATATTGCTGTCTGGTTTTCGACTTTTCCACGCCCACGTGGTGTAGAAAGATTAGTTGAGTGTTATCTTTCTTAAGTCTTATTTGGTTGTTCGTAATTGTAGAGCAAGAAGACCGATCCAGACCGTAGCACAGAACAGTCTAGAATTCCATCCGTTCCTGTTGTCCGTGTAGAGGTACCCATTGGACATCATAAACCCTCGTTGAGGTAAAGTTCAGATTTGATTAGTCCTTCTTTATTACCTTTATTAACTCCTACACGTTGTGCTAGTCCTTGTTCTATAATTGAGGCTCTTTTCTAAGACAATCAATGTTATTTAGGGTTTTTATGTTCACCTTTTGAAGTAATGGTTTTGGTGACTATTGACTATTGTCGTAACGTCATATTGCGCTGCATTGTATACTCTAGTATACTAATTAAAGACCGTTAAAGACTAACGGTGCAGTCCTGGTTTTAAAAAACATTAATAACAATAACAGAATTAACGATATTAACAGAAAACATCTGTACAAACAGAAATAAAAAAATTGTAAAAAATACCCTCATACTTTGTATTGCCTCCCTTGGCTGTGATACTTTCGTACTTACCTGTATACTTTCGTTCATAATGTCATTGAGGTTTCATTCATAATGTCATCATATATTATATTGCGTTGTTTTTCCATTCTTCTTTAAGTACCAAGCGAAGTTCAAAGTAATTTGCTAAAAAAAAATCGTAAAAATAGGGCTAAAAATGACAAAAATATGACACTAGAGTAATGCCATTTTGGCCTTTGATTATCATCCATCAAGAAAAATTCTGGTTAAAAATAAAAAGTTTATTGTTTAATAGGCTAATTTCATGCTTTTCTCTATGGATACAACTAACACAAACTATTCCTATGACATTCCATTGATTTATTGTACTGTATTATATTACTATAATTAAAACCACTAATCTATTCCACTCATTTTGAGATTCCAAATGAAGGTTTTTAATTTATTTTTAGCCTATTTACTAGCTGATGCGGGGTATGATGTATGGTTAGCAAACATGAGAGGAAATTTTTATTCCAGTAAGCACCAAACATTAGACGCCACTAAAGACTCAGAGTACTGGAGATTTTCGTAAGAACCTCAAGTTATCTTTCGAGAAACTAGAAAAAATTAATATATATTTTTTTTATTTTCAGCTTGCATGAAGTTGGGTTCTACGACTTGCCAGCAATGATAGATTACATCCTGAACAAAACGAAAGAAAATTCTTTATATTATTTGGGCCATTCTGTAGGATCCTCGGCAGCATTAATACTGGGATCACTTAGACCAGAGTACAATTCAAAAATTAAACTTCATATTGCCCTGGCGCCATTGGTTTACGTTCTACACGATATTTCCCTGCCTCACAAATTAGTTCAACAGACTTGGACTAGCTTGCAAGTAAATTAGATATAGAGAAATCAATAAAAGTTGGCGTACACGTCATGAAAGACGTCGAAACTCCTACCTAATTAAATTTATAATAAATAAATTTCGTTTGACTCTTAAAGCGCTTAGTACATTCCTACTTCTAAATATGCTTGTAACTTTTTAAAACTGTGATTTTCATTGCAATTTAATACAAAAACCACTAAATCGTCAGAATCAGCAACTTGTCTCCTCCCTACTCATTCTTTTTGCTTTCGTTTGGTTTGGCGCTTTGAATAAGAAGACTAAGGAAGGAGCATAATGATATCCATGTATTCATGCATGGTGGGCGGAAAAAGCGCCATAAAAGCACTCTAGGGTGGGGATCCTTGACAGTTCTGTTTGACGATTCATTTGACACATTTGAATTTGATTTGAAATTTTGTGGATTTGTCAGTCTTTACGGAGCTTATTTTATGTTATTTATTATTTATTCTACTACTGATAGTTGTATAAAGGTAGTAAATCTCGATGGAAATTGTGGCAGCACTTAAATTAACAGTGAGACTATTGCGATTTATCGAAAAAGACTCTAAAATAGTTGGTTGTGTAGCGTGCGGTAGATCTCGGCAAAAATTGAGTGAAATAATGGAACAACTTTTCGCTAGTAAGTGACTATATAATATACATACGTGTAGTAAACCGATCATTTATGAAATTCACTTAAATTAACTAAATTATATATTTTTCTTGCATTTTAGCTTTTATTTATTACTTGTCAAAGATTAGATGTCAAAGAATTTAGATACGTTAATTTGACTTACTTGCTTCAGTAGCGTATCGGATGTTTGTGGTAATAAATACTTATTATAACTTATCTATTTTTATTAGAATTATATATTTTTATAACAATTTTAATAACTACCAACATTTATTCACAACGTAAAATAAAACAACAAATTATTGTTGTTTGTCTACCCCACGTCTACCCTACATCATAGTTTTACATTTTTTAAATAAAATTAGAACGACACTGATAAACCGGAATTTAAGTCGGCCATATTTGAGGCCCATCGCGGTGTACCTAAGATTTTTGATATGCTCCTTCCTTAGTCTTCCTATTCAAAGGTTTGGCGTCAAATAAAATTACGAATTTTATTTGACGCCTGTTAAAGGTCAAACTAAAGTTAATTAATGACGTGCACGCCAAATTCTATTGATTTTCCTATAATAAGATTCAATAAACCATAATTAATTCTTCGTCATATCTTTTTAGAATACTATAATATCTGACGATATATTGAACGTATTTCCTAGGAGAAAATATTTTTCACAATTTTTAGATGCTATGTGCTCTGATGGAATGCCGACTCAAATTCTATGCTTGCTTATGACGTTTTCTTTTGTCGGAGTAGATGTAGAACAATTTAATACTGTAAGCAGTTCAAATAAGTAATATAACAGTTGATATTGTTATGTATAACAGTTGCCAAATATTGCACGCATGTTATTAGTGTCTGGGGATAATAATGTTGTACAATGCTCAGAAATTTACTTTTCAAAGAATAAAAATCAATCTTTTCCTTTTTTAAATTTTATTACGAATTTTCTCTTATTCTCGAAAAAAAGATAGAATTTTGAGAATATTTAGAACAAAAGGAAGAATTAAATGGGAACAAATAGGTATTCAGAAAACATTACTCTCCTTTCTGGGCATATTTATATTGTTACGGATTCCGTGGGTCCACTATTTAAGCTCACGATAAAATACTTAACAAATTTATTTGTCACAATTATCTGTCGAATTTTCTACACATCTCCTCCAAACTTCTGTGGGTACTCTCGGGCTGTTCCTCGACCGTTACAGATCTTATCTTCGGTCTAGGGATGGCGCTAAAAGCAGCTTCAATTTCCAACGCCCTGACCAGTGCTTCGCTGCTGGTCGAAAATCGGGATATTTGTAGCGCCCTTTGTAACTCGTTGTCCTTCAATCCACTGATAAAGCACTGGGCTGCGAGTTCCTCCCTAAACCCTTCCGGTGCTTCCAACCGACGTAAGTCTGCTTCAAATTCCTGCAGACTCTCTCCGGACCTCTGTATGCGTGTCTTGATCTGGGCCTGGTAAAGTTGACGTCGATGTTGGTCGCCATATCTTCTGTCCAGTGCAGCAACCAATGTTTCGTATTCCTGCTGTTGGGCTGCAGGAATAGTTTGCAGCAGTTCCAGGGCAGGGCCACGCAGCGCGATGACAAGTGCCGCTGCTTTCTCGTGGTCGGTCCATCCGTTGGCAGCAGCCGCTGCTTCATACTGGCGGTGGTACATCGTCCATGTCGTTTGTCCATCGTAGGTCGGGGCCTTAAGGTTCGCAGTTCCCGGAACGCCAGGTGTCCTTACTTGTACCTTGGTCTTCTGTAGGTCCATCTCCAACTTTTCTATCTTCTGCTGAAGGCGCTCCTCCAGATCTTCTACGGCTTCTTGGAAGTGGTTCTGCTGTTCCTGGCAACGTTCTTCCAACATTGCTTGTTGCTGTTCCCCCAAGCTTTTCTGAAGTCGAATTTCTTGATTTTCTAAAGTTTTCTTAAGACGGTCCTGATCTTCTTGTCTTTCTTTCTGGCGGCGCGTTTCTATATCTTCTAAAATTTCCCTCCATTCATTCTTCTGACGAATTTCTAAATTGCCTAAAATTTTCTCAAGCCGGTCCTGTTCTTCTTCTTTGTCTTGTTGTCGTTGAATTTTCAAATCTTGGAAAATTTTTTCAAGCCGGTCCTGTTCTTCCTGTTTATCTTGTTGTTGTTGGAATTTCAAATCTCCGAAAATCTTCTCAAGCCGGTCCTGTTCTTCTTGTTTTTCTTTTTGTCGTTGTAATTTTTCCTCTTCTTTATCTTTTGCTTTCTCTTTTTCTAGTCGGGCTCGCTCTTCTTCTCGTTCTTTACGGAGTCTTTCTTGTTCTTCTGCCTTCTCTCTTCTCATATTCTCCATAAAATCGCCCAATAATTTGCTTACTTCCTCCATTTTCTTCGCTTGCTCCCTTGTACCAACCATAAAAATACTCTAATTCGGTCTAAAAATCTTCCAATCCACTTAATTTCTTCTTAAGATCCTCTTGAATCGCACTTCCGACACCAATTGTTACTGATTCCGTGGGTCCACTATTTAAACTCACGATAAAATACTTAACGAATTTATTTGTCTCACTCTGTACACACAGCTTCTACTATTTACAACACAATTTATGCAACTACTATTACTCTAACGGTATTTCGCGGTATTAGCAAACTTCAGACTTCAGACTATCTTCAGACTGCTCCAACTGTCAAAGCGCGGGCCTTATATACCCCCTGGCGATGGTTTCTGGAATTTTCTAAAGAATTCTGTAATTTTCTTTTACTTTCTGTCGAATTCGCCAGGTTCCTCAATGCACCGTTGCGGTTATGCAACCAGTAATACACCTTGACCTTAACAATATTGCAGGTTAACTATATATGCTTCCTTTATATTAATCATCGCGGCCAGATCTATTATATCCCCGTTTCTTGAGTTAGAACTCGTCATGCTGTCTATGATACAATCTCAGGGTTTTGAGAGCAAAATCCAGTATCTGAGACGGTTTTACGGTTGTTCTGCCGTTTCCACATCTTTCCCACAAAATCTGCATTCGCCATTGTTTCTTAGCTTCAATCTACTGAGGTGTTAGATGTTAGTTTTTATAATACAAAACTTGTACGAAAGCAAGAGCGGCCAGGTAAAAGACGAACTCACCGAGCATTTTGGTGTTAGCAAAGGTGTTAGGCAAGACAGTTATTATACTAAGCCCTATGCTCTTCAATACACAAGGTGTTCCGAACTGTATTCCGTAAACTTCGGCAGCATATTCTGCAGATAGAATAGAATAGAATAAGTGGGAGGGGGGTTAATCTCTACGACCTTAGAGATCTATTGTGTCCCCCTTTCTTGAGTTATAACTCATCATACAGTCCCAGGACTTTCTACGGAGACCCGTGTCCCTCACAGTCGAGGAGCTACGACCCAGGCCGGGTAGACGAAACGGTAGCTTGTGTCGCCTGTTGGGTTTAGAGGTAGGAGGTAGGCTCCCGACCCTTGGAGGAGGTGGTAGCTTGTATGCCACTTGCGGTGGATGGTCTCACGCAAGTGTCAGCCACCTCTCCTGTAGTTCTCTTTGGGTTTGGCCCCTTGGATTTGGCCCCATTGTTACTGTTCCTAGTGTCGCTAGGGGGTTTCCCCACAGCTTCACCGGTGATGTTTTTATTACTATTATTACCAGATCTCATAGTGTTCCTATGAGTCGCTAGGGACAGTCGGTCCACTTCTACAGAGCCCCGCATGTAGAAGTAAGGCGTAAAATACAATGGGGTGCCCCCCGGTGCCCCAAGGTTGAGGCTGTCCGTAGCCCCGCCCGGTATCGTTATATGTCTTGGTGCAATTCCCTGGCCACGACACTACAGTCAGGGACAAGACGATAAGTGAGATGCTTCTTAGACCAAGTCAAGTGCTATGGGGGATTCCCCCCAGCACCTGACCAGGAGCTTCCCCACCAACGACAAGGTCTTGCATGTCCTAGGGGAAGTTCTACATATAAAAAAAGTAAAAAAGTTCGGATAAATGTATGTACCAAAATGGGCATACTTTCAGAGATACAAGGTGTAGAAATTTCATTTTTATTTCGCTTTTTTCGACAAATGTATACCGCAATAAGTTCAAAAATTCGTGAAGCAGCATTCGAAGCACTAGGAAAAAAATCGGTCACAAAGAGTCAAAGACGAAGAAACTGCCCTTGGTGGAACGAAGAACACAAGATACTCGTAGACCAGAAAAAGCAAGCGTATCAGAAGTGGCTGCAAACTAGGACCCAAGAAGATCGAACATGGTATAAAGCTAACAGGCGCTTAGTGACACAAGAAATAAAAAAAGCTCAAAATCAGTACTAGTGTAAAGTGTGTGAAAACATAGATCAAAGCATGGGAAATACAAGAGCGAACAAAGCTTGGAAGTCTAAGTAAAATCTCTTAGATCCAATAATGCTGATAAAGGTGGTATAAGTATAATCAGCATGCCCCAATGGGTACAGCACTATAAGAACCCCCTCACTGAAGACAGACCACAGTATGCCGAAACCAGTACAGAATGCACCACAGACAATTCCAGTGATGTATCAAATATAACGATAAAAGAAGTGTTAGATGCGGTAGAACAAATCAAAAATGGCAAAGCACCCGGACCTGGATGTATCAATATTGAACTTATTAAGGCAGGTCCTTCAATTCTCATTGAATTGCTAACAATGATATTTGATAAATGCCTCCAGGGTGCTGACCCTCCGTCAGAATGGAAAAAGGCGGCAATTTTATCCATTTTCAAAAAAGGGGACCGCAGAGACTGCAATAACTACAGGGGCATTAGTGTTTTGAGCACGGTAGCTAGAGTATATGGGCGAATATTGAAACTTCGAATGGAAAGAGAATTTGACGAGTCGGAGGAGCAGAATGGGTTTAGAGTCGGCAGATCCTGCACAGATGGAGTTTTTACACTAAAAAATTTGATCGAAAAAAGAGTCGAGCGAGGGCGAGAAGTACATTTAGTATTTATTGACTTGCAAAAGGCCTATGATACCGTGCCATTGAACAAGCTATGGCCAGCAATGGAAAAAAATCGTATCAATGAAGTCTATATTAACGCAGTCAAAAAACTTTATTGTGGAAGTAAAAGCTACATTAAAATGGGCGGAAACTCTTCTGAGGGATTTATTGTTTCCAAGGGACTCAGACAAGGATGTTCTTTAGCCCCTCTACTCTTTAAGATATATGTCGAAGAGGCTCTGAAAAAATGGAAAAGAAGATGTGGTGGAATGGGTCTACCAATCGGGGACTCTATGCTCTATACTCTTCCCTTCGCCGATGACCAAGTTTTGATAACGGGAGATCGAGATGATGCTAGCTACATGCTGACGGTGCTTGAGAAAGAGTTGGGACAATTTGGATTGATTGTAAATATGAAAAAGACCGAACACATGTCTGTAGGAAACGACGATCATAGTGATTTGGATATTGGTATGGGCATAACAATAAAACACTGCTCCAAATTTAAATACCTTGGAGTAACTCTTTCCTCAGGTGGCAAAAGCAATGAGGATATATTTAATAAAATTGGACAGTGAAGAAGAATAATTAGGGAACTGAACTCTCTTCTTTGGAGCGATAGAATTTCAAGAACGAAACAGATGATGTACAACTCTATCTTTGAATCTGTTTGTACCTACGGATCGGAGACGTGGGAGCTCGCAAGGAGAAACAAGGATAGATTACTTGCACTTGAAATGGTTTATTGGAGGCGTAGTAACAGAAGATCTCGCCTAGATCACGTAAGAAATGTTTGTATAAAAGAGGAAATGCATGTAAATGGTACTATCTTGGATACCATAGAATCCAAGCGATTGCTATGGTTTGGCCACCTTCAAAGAATGGATGATTTAAGAATACCCGAGAGAGTATGGGACTGGATGCCAGTAGAGAGAAGAAAACGTGGAAGACCAGCAAGAACATGGCAGAATGATGTTCAGGAAGCCATGCTTGAAAGACAACTGAGAAATGGCGACTGCTGGGACCGGAATTTATGGAAGTCGAGGAGCGGAAAACGACACTAGTCGTAATAACACCCGCATGCATATATATATATATATATATATATATATATATATATATATATATATATATATATATATATATAATATATATTTTGTGTATTTTTCTAATTTCGAAAAATCGAAAGTAGAAAAAAAAAAAAGTAAAAAGAAAATTGTTTTGCTTGTCGTAAAGGGGAACTAAGCTCCACTCCCACAACCGGTTTCTGGGCCTACCCTTCATCAGGTGGGCTGTCCAGGGGCTGGTTCTCACCGATACGGCAAGCAAAACTTCTTCTATATCTACAGACGATGTCGTAAAGTGTCAGTGAGATATTAGTGCATCTCCCGTCAAAAGATGGTAAAGAGCGTTTTTCGGCCCGCTCAAATATATGAAATGAACAAAATTCTTACAAGAAAATATTATTTATTAATATACACTAAGCTGTAAGAATTTTGTTCATTTCATATATTTGAGCGGGCCGAAAAATGCTCTTTACCATCTTTTGACGGGAGATGCACTAATATCTCACCAACACTTTACGACATCGTCTGTAGATATAGGAGAAGTTTTGCTTGCCGTATCGGTGAGAACCAGCCCCTGGACAGCCCACCTGATGAAGGGTAGGCCCAGAAACCGGTTGTGGAGTGGAGCTTGGTTCCCCTTTACGACAAGCAAAACAATTTTCTTTTTTACTTTTTATTATTTTGATTAATTTTTTCTAAAAAATTTTAATAATTAGAAAAAATTTTATAAAAAAGAAAATATTATATATAATATACACTAAAGCTGTAAGAATTTTGTTCATTTTATATATATATATATATATATATATATATATATATATATATATATATATATATATATATATATATATATATATATATTTCGATTTTTTCTAAATCATTTCTGACGTAACGTCAATATTTGGATGAAAATCTTGGAGGTGCCTTGGAGTTTTTTGACATGAGAAATCTGATTTTGGTGTCAATATGACTCCTACTATAGAGGGCGCCATCTACATGTATTTTAACTGTTTTAAAGCGTAATAACTTTTTGTTCGTATACCTGTATGAAACTACCGAGCGGAAAAATATACATCTCTGCGAAAATATCTCTTTGTAAAAATCGCAATATATTTAAAGTCGAAATAGTCAATACATGTCATTAATAGAGAACAACGGTCTACGGTCGAATCGGCCGCTGCTGGCACGTATACGTAGACGTAAAGAACGTATCTTTTACGTGTATAAAAAATAAAAAATATAAGAAATGCGCATGCGTACGTAAACGTTTACGTGTTCGTAGTCTGTGCCGTTGTTCTCTATTGACAAAAAATAATCACGTTGAGTAGATAGTTATTTCAATGAAATAATAAATTTGGGAAATTTTTATTTTTTTTAAATTAATCATAATTTTTTCTGCAAAAAATGATGATAAAACAGTTTCTGTTGAACTTTTGGCACAAAAACATTTCAAATTTATGATTTCAGTCGAATAACTATTTAGTCAACATGTTTAATTTTATGTCAATGATGACATGCAGGTATTGATAATTTCGATTCCAAATATCTTGGAAACCATTACTCGTAGCGATTTTTACCAAGAGACCTTTGTAAAAAACATCGTCAATGTATAATTAATAATATTGTGTCTGTTGTTGTATAAAACTAGTACCCAATTAAAAGAAAATTATTTCGTAAATAATAACATGCGTGCATCTTTGGATCATCATTCGGTATAATAATATAAAGTTATTTTTTAGACCTATATACATAACTTAGTTTCATATTACCCTGCTGGAGCTTCAGTATACTTGATTTCTCATGCAGCACAGATATATTTTGAAGGTAAGTAGAGTATCATAATAGCTATTTATGTAACTAGTACCTAAAATGATGTTTTTTAGGACGAATCATTACTGTTTGCGGACGAGGCGTTAGCCGAGTCCGAAATAGTAGATGAGTCCTAAAAAACATAATTTAGGTACGTGTTACATACACTATTTTTTGTCATACGCTTTTTACAGTTTTTTAGAACGCATATTTGCAAATTTTCCATATTTGAAATTATAATGTTTGAAAAAAGTTGGCTTATAAATTCATATCTTAGTAACGAGTTTGTTTATTTCATCGCATTTTGACATGTCATTCGAAATTTGTCACAAAATCACACAAATTCATCAACAATTTTAAAATGTTCCAAAATCCCGAACATATTGCTAATAAGGCCAAAGAAATCGTGTTGGATTTACTTCCTGTGAAGTCTCGTGCCATTTACCAGAAAGAATATGATGTTTTTAATGAATGGAAAGACAAAAATGGCGTATTCGTTGTAAATGAAGATGTATTGCTAAATTATTTCCACGAAAAAGTAAGTACCTAGGTACCTATTTAAAAGAGGCTTTTAAATTAAAATATTCTTAAATTACAGTCACAAACATTCAAACCATCGTCAATTTGGTCGAAATATTCCATGCTGAGAGCAGTGTTAAGTGTTAAAGAAGATATTTATATTGACAAATTTCCAAAACTTATTGCTTTTTGAAGAGGAATTCGGTTGGTTACGAGCCTAAAAGTCTAAGGTTTTGTCCATAAAAGAGATCGGTGATTTTTGGCCACGGCTAGTGATGAAACTTATTTACTTACTAAGGTAAGTTTGCGATAATGATTTTTAAAATATATAGATGGTTTCTTATTCCATTGTATTTGATTTTTAGGTAGCTCTTGTCATTGGCCTTTGTGGAGCATGTAGAAGAGAAGAATTGTACTCTCTACGAGTGCAAGACATCATAGAAAAAGACAACAGCTGCCTTTTAGTTACCCTTGCGGATACAAAAACTAATATCAAAAGAGTGTTTCCGGTGGTGAACAGAAGGGAACGTTGTCAATCCAGTTGAGTTGTATAGAAAATATGCTTGTCTTAGGCCAAAAAATGTACCACATGATTATGTCTTGTTTGTGACTGTAATTTAAGAATATTTTAATTTAAAAGCCTCTTTTAAATAGGTACCTAGGTACTTTTTAAACAAATAACTTAGCTTTTGATATTGTTAGTATTTAATAATTTAATTATAAATATATGTATAATTTTATGTGATTTTGTGACAAATTTCGAATGACAAAATAAAACAACCAAATAACGAATTTAGACATTTTAGTCCATAAAGGTTGCCATGACGACCTTTACGGCCTAGGCCGAAAAAGAAACATTTTACGGACTGAAATGAGTCCGTAAAATAGCTGTTTTTGGGAGCGTATGACAAAAAAGACTTTTATAATCAATCCTGTATTGTGTGATAATGTATAAAAGCCGTGTTTTTGGTAAACTTTTTTTTCGATCATAGGGTACTATAGTCTATCAGTATAATATTTAATAGAAATATATTTTAATATTATTTTAGGGAAATTTAGATCGCTGGATTATCAAGATCAGTCGATTAATTTTCGAAAATACAACTCTATACCTCCAGTTTACAATCTAAGCTTAGTGAACCATCCAGTTTCGTTACATTATGGTGAAGGTGATTATTTAGTCACTGCAGAGGTAAGAAAGTACTATAGGATCGAAAGAAACGGCGTCAAAGACGGCTGGGGAATGACAATTGATGATAATTTTGCCGAGGTGAAGCGCTAGACGTTATTTATTTGGAAAATCTTTGATTTTTTTCGGTCGTAAGTCCGGAGAAATTTCTTCGAGTATCTTACGCCGTTGGAGGACACTCATTCCAGGTTACGGATGGAGTCTTCCAGATTCTTCAGTTCTGATTTAAGTCGGTTCCCGCTTGGAAAACAGAACGGTCCTGGTCCAGTTAGTGGGAGTATTCGCTCCTGTTCTAGCTAGATCATTTGCTTTTTCATTACCTTCTATCTTTTGATAGGCTGGCACCCAGAGTAGGAGGACTTTATTTTCTTTGCCTAATTTGTCCAGCTTCTCTAGATATTCTTTAACCAACTTCAAATTGATGGTTACCTACTGAGTTGATCGCTCTTGAGGCTGCTTGTCTATCGAATAAGATGGATATTTCTTGTTTCCTATAGTTCCTATCAAAAATAAGTTGTTTCAAACATTGTTTCATCTTGTTATTTATTACTCTTCTTTATTTTTTAATTGCGTTTACTGCCAGTTGGTCTTAAGAAGGCTGTTATTTATTTTTTTGTCGAGTAAAAATAATTTTTAAGTGGTGTATATAAAAATTCGAGAAAAAATAATTTTTTGGAAATAGATTTGTGTCTGGAACGTTCTATCCTTTTTTAATCTTTCCATAATTAGTGTTAATTTTTTACAAGTTCAATAAATGTCGTCTGGAGAACGACATCTGCAAAATGATCGGCGATTACCATTGACAAGCCGTCTTTGATGCCGTGTTTTTTTTGATCATACGATACCAATGACGTAGGATTGTTTCTACGTCATTTACGGTACTATCTATCCGTTTTCTTCATTTTCATGTAAATATACCGGTTGTCTTAATATTCCATTGACATTGAATATATTACGTATTTTTTCAATCAAAAGATTTAAACATAATTTATAAACAAAGCGATTTTGCATAGAGGTAAATTGTGTCCAATTAACTTATTTTAATTTCAAAAATACGTAGTAGTTCTCAGTCCACGAAATATTTGAGACATTCTGTATAGTATTTACCTAACGCATATAATATGCATTGTTAAAATACTATATTTATTAAACTACCTAATCATTCAGCATACTACAGAAGAAAAAAAATATATTAACAAGAAATAGCATAAACATAAACCTATTTTAGACTTCAATGATATATCATTAGTGAAACTTTAGTCAGCACGTCAGCAATATTACTTTAAAAATTGTGAGCTATCTAATTAGTCAGTAATTAAATTGCCATATAATAACACTTCACCCAAAATAAAACACTAAATCACCACAATACACCAAAACACTTTTACTTTTACACTGGACGCGCGTTTCGCTAACCATGTTAGCATCATCAGCAGATGATTATAAACTAAAATACAATCTACAATTGGAGCGTTTATATACTTGCTCAGTGGGCACAAAGTGGGCGTGGTAAAATCTAGCCAACCAAGAGTCAGAACCCACCGAGCGTAACAGTTAGATTTCCGCCACTAGAGTAGTAGGAACAAAGAACTTGAAGGAATTGGACCGTTGTTTCTGTTCATACTATCATTACATTTATTAATTCTGATGCTTTCATATGCATCTAATTACCTGTAATTTGAGACTTGTTTAATTAATTTCAAGTTATTAAAATCTATACAATGTCCTTTATCAACAATATGTTCGGCAACGCAAGATTTATCCGGTCTACCATATCTTATCTGAGCTAAATGTTCTTTAAATCTAGTTAATATTGATCTTCTAGTTTGCCCAACATATTGATTACAATCTTTACAAGAAATTTCATAAATACTCGACCTTTCCAGTGGATGTGTTTTATCCTTTGGATTACCTAATAATTGTTGTAATTTATTATTAGCACTCTACACAAGTTTATAATTGACCTGCTTAAAAATTCCTTTTAGACCACTGTCTATCAAACGGCATTGAAAAATATTTTGACGTATCTTTCTCTACTTGAAAAGTCGAATTTTCGTGAGTGAATGAGAAAGTTTTTAGTGAAGGAGAATATCCATTACACTCAGCTACATTCCTAATGTAGTCTCTTTCTATTTCATATCTTTCATTGGAAAGTGGAAAACTAAGTAATCTATGAACTAAGAAATTTAAACTTGCCATTTTATGTTCAATACTATGATATGATTCATTAGGAATATATCTGCGTGTAGTGGTATTTTTCCTATAGATATCAAATTCCAGGCAATTATTAGTATTTCTAATAACTAATACATCTAGAAATGGTAATCTGTCGTTGTTCTCAATTTCATGTGTAAATTTAATGGAAGGAAAACGATTATTTAACTTAGAAATAAAATTATCTATGGTGTCTGAATGTGTGTCAAAAACAGCAAAAATATCATCCACATACCTAAACTATACTCTTGGAAAATACTCAAACTGATTCTTAGCCTCCACTTCAAACCTGCTCATGAATAAATTAGCCAAAAAGAGAGACAATGGATTACCCATTGCTGTACGTTACTTTTTCCAACGTTACTTTTTGGAATATCAACTTTAATCAAACTAGGATAAACTGAATTGGCTTTGCATGATTTAAGAAACCAAATATCTGCTCCTAATAACCTAATCTTAGTGCTAAACTTACGATAAAGATTCAGTTCCGTTGACCGTGAAGCCATCGAAGCACAACTAGAAGATCAATATTAACTAGATTTAAAGAACATTTAGCTCAGATAAGATATGGTAGACCGGATAAATCTTGCGTTGCCGAACATATTCTTGATAAAGAACATTGTATAGATCTTAATAACTTGAAATTAATTAAACAAGTCTCAAATTACAGGCAATTAGATGCATATGAAAGCATCAGAATTAATAAATGTAAAGATAGTATGAACAGAGACGACGGTCCAATTCCTTCAAATTCTTTGTTCCTACTACTCTAGTGGCGGAAATCTAACTGTTACGCTCGGTGGGTTCTGACTCTTGGTTGGCTAGATCTTGCCACGCCCACTTTGTGCCCACTGAGCGAGTATATAAACGCTCCAATTGTAGATTGTATTTTAGTTTATAATCATCTGCTGATGATGCTAACATGGTTAGCGAAACGCGCGTCCAGTGTAAAAGTAAAAGTGTTTTGGTGTATTGTGGTGATTTAGTGTTTTATTTTGCTATGTAACACGAAATGTTCCAACCCTCAACTGTAAACTTCACCCAGTAACATCCCTTTTGTTTATTTTCAGGATATTAAGTACACAAATTTGCAACTTCCGAATAGTGTTGGAATATTTAAAGTACCTTTTAGAAGTTTCAATCATATAGATTTTATGGTAGGTTCTAAAGCCAAAGAATTACTTTATAAGGAATTAGTATTATTAATGAATAAATATAAGTAGCAATAAGTATTATTGTTTTTTTTTCCTTACACTTACTATTATTAAGTACTCTAATTGTGTGTGTTAAATATACAGGGTGGTCCAAACTGTACTCCGGAAACTTCGGCAACATATTCTGCAGATAAAAATAAGTAATAAAGTAGGTACCTATAAATGTATGTCCTAAAATGCTCAGTTTCGGAGATACAGGGTGTAGAAGTTTCATTTTTTCACTCCCGGATACCAATTTCCATTCAAATATTGACGTTACTTCAGAAATTATTTGGAAAAAATCGAAATAAAAATGAAACTTCTACACCCTGTAACCCTGTATCTCCGAAACCAAGCATTTTAGGACATACATTGAACTTTTTTACTTATTTTATTATTTATCTGCAGAATACGCTGCCAACCTCTCCGGAATACAGTTCTGACCACCCTGTAGACGATGTATAGGAAGAAGATTATTCATAGAAAAACAAAGATTTTGAACAAAACACATTTATTTAATAATAAGTATTGTGTATACAAACCATGAACATAATATTATTGCTAACATCAAACATACAATATCCTTACATTTACGTACAATTTTTTTTGAAGTAATAAAATAATACATTAAGTTAATACTTTATATTACCGCCCCGCTTATAACCTATATCGCTCCATAAAAATGAAAAACAAATTTTTCTTATATACATTTTATAAGTTTGATTTATCTGGACAGATTTGCAGTATAATACATTTGCTGGAGGGAATGACATTAGAACACCGTAATATAGCCCGTCATTAACTTTTTACAATTTCTTTTATAATACTGCAATATAAACATCGATATTATACAGGCTTCTCAAAGTATGATACACAATATTTTGTTCAATAAAATATTTTGTGAATGTTTGATGGTTAGTTAATAGCTATCAATACTATATTTACAGGGTGTTTGAAAAATGCACTGCCAAATTGTAAGGGATGATTTCTCGACAAAAAACACGGTACCGGAAATAGATAGTTTTAAAGATACAGGATGTTAAAACTTTAAAAAAATGTTATTTTTTTAATTTTCATAAATACGTACGTTTCATTCCTTTACTAAAATTACTAATAATTTTAATATGTGATATTACAATTTTGTATATACAGGGTGCTACAAATTCGAGGTACGAGCATTGGTATCTCGGAAACCGTAATAGATACGAAAATGGTTAAATTGGGGCAAAGTTGCGCCTTGGGATGTTCGCCAAGATGCCATCACAAAAGTTTTAAAAATTTGAAGGATTTCTGAGATTTTTGAAAAAAAAAGGATTTTTTGGAAAATCGATTTTATTTTTTCCTGTCGTTAGTTTTTAGAAAATCAAAAAACTAATTACACATTCTCATAGCCACTTTATTAGGGCTATCTGATGGTATTCTTAGATTTTCAAATTAGCTGATAATTTGTGAGATACAATTGCCAACTTAATTTTTTTAAATACAGATCTGCATTTTTTATTTTAGGTTTTGAAAGAACTCGGGTTCCTGAGTACAATGATGTACCACACTTTATACTTTTTTTTGTTTTGGGTACCTTAACAACAACAAAACTCTTTAATAATTATTTGAAATAATTTCAAGTCTGACTCTGGTTTTTTAAATTATTTAATCTGATTATATTCGTCGCAACAATATTGATCAGCGCTAATTAACGTTGAATAAGGAAAATCGAGTCAATTGAAAGATCCAAATAAATAATATCCAGGTCAGCAATTTAAAGATATTATTTTCAACTTTTTTATTGTGAATTTGAAATCTCACTGTACGATCTCTAATAATATGCATAATATTAATCATAGTTACTATAAATAAATCAACTTCTACAACTAGTTTCTAATGCTCTACATGTTAGTAACGAAAGGATTATAGTAAACGCCACGAATGTTTGGGAGTGATTTATCGGTCGCTACCATGTGACCTAATCTGTTCAAGGTCACATAAAACTTAATTCCAGTGCCGTGGTGTTTCAAGTCATATAATAATCAATATATAATCTGTTGTAATTTGTTATTTTAACTGTCAAAGTCTTGTCAAAACATATATTTGGTTATAAATATAAACTGGAATGCCCCATTGGTCGCACTGCAAGCACACCAATGGACTGACGCACAAAAACGAATCAATCAAAGAAACGCGATATAGTATCGTCTTTGTCAATCACGCTAATATTTTAGAATAAGTAGGAGGAGCGCAGGCAGATGATTAAACCGGGCCTTTAAAAACCTACGTCTGCGGTAAAAAATTACGTCGATTCTAACTTCATCAAGCGATGAATCACTCCCAAACATTCGTGGCGTTTACTTTACTACCCTTCCTATTGCACAAATTTATTATTCGTTCAATTTTATTTATAGCTCTTTGAACATATCTTCTTATTATATTTCCGCTGGCCATTTTACTGCTCTACCATTTCCAATCCATCTTCCGAGGAAATGATTTGATTGTTTAAATTATGTATATTATATTTATATTATTTTTTATTGCATTTGATTTTCCGTTTTCAATGTTTTACGCCACGTTATTGTTAAGTTTGAAGGCGTATCAATATTATAACGATGAATAGAATAAATATTTAAAAAAAAACAGGAGCTGGACTTGAAATTAGTTTAAATAAATTGTGTTCAAATGTCCGAGACAAAAAAAAGTGTGGCATATCATTGTCCTCGGGAGATCAAGATCTTTCAAAATCTAAAATAAAAAATGCAGGTCCGTATTTAAAAAAATTATGTTGGTCTCTGTATCTCACAAATTATCAGCTAATTTGAAAATCTAAAAATACAACCAGATAGCTCTAATAAAGTGGCTATGAAAATGTCCAATTAGTTTTTTGATTTTCGAAAAAGTAACGACAGGAAAAAATCAAATTGATTTTCAAAAAAATCCGTTTTTTTTTCAAAAAACTCAGCATCCTTGGAATTTTTAACCGTACCTCGAATTTGTAGCACCCTGTATATTATAATACTTTAGTCACAAATTGATATTTTTATTTTTAATTAATTTAATTTTTTAATTTTTTTCACTAAAACACTTCAATGACATATTTGTAATTTGACAAATGTCATTTCCATATTTTTTGATGTGGAACAACTCCCTAATATACAGGGTTGTTCACCACATACGACACGGAGTATGGTAGCTAAACGATTAGATTTTTACAAATTGTAAGTGTTGGGTTCGTTGAAGGACTATTAGAGCTACAATCTAAAAATATTTTTACAAGATACAGAGTGTCCCAAATAAGTAAAAAATATTATAGTTGTATTTTTATAAATAGAACACCCTGTATATTATTCTATTTTTGGATTCTACGATTGAAATAAAGGTAAATTTGATTAAGGTTTATAACACTTAAACCTTACGGTTTTTGAAATATTTTCAATTTTATGAAATTGCAGTAACAAATTTAAGGCTTTATTTCTCCAAGAGTATCAAAGTTTCTAATATTAAATATTTACTGAAGATTATTTATTGATCAGATATTGTGTTGCAGTAATAAAAACTTTACTACATTATACAGAGTGTCCAAAAATTTATATTAAATAATTACTAGCTTTAAACGGCAATAACTTGTTTAATTTAAATGGAACACCCTATATATTTGACGTGAATCAGATGCACAATGTAATTGTCTATCAAATTGTATTGTTCCATTTTAACCCATCTCTTCAAGTTTTCATAGAAAATGCATTTTCTTATAATTTAGACCTCATTTATCACTATACCCATGGAATATTGACATTTCAGCTTATTTTTAAAGATGTAACAAATTTTCAAAGGGTACAGATACTAATATTGTCGATATAGTTGGCTTATTTAATTAAAAAATAAAAAAAAACTGTTATATTTTTTGTTAGAGGACCAATTAATATGATCTTAGTATTCAAACTACATTAATTGACTATTTTCGTTGTAGTAATACTTGCTCCAAATAGTAAAAAAAAATAATTTTGTGTGGGTATTAGGCAGTGTGGTAAAAAGTAACACCTTATAAATTTTATTTCATTTATTGAATGCTTATTTATAAAAATAGAGACATTCATTTTCATAACTTATTATTATATTGATTTCTGAGCCAAATCCACATTTATTTAGAATAATTTATTAATTAAAACAATTTAAAATATGTAATTAATTAATTTTTAGTGTTTTTGGTAGGAAATAATGATGGTATATTTAATTGGTATACTCTTTTACAAAGATTTAAATAGTTTTTTGTATACCAATGGGCTTGCAATATTTACCACCAGTACATTTTGTGCATATTATGGTGCTATAAAAAAATATGAAATGTCAATATTCCATGGGTATAGTGTGTATATAAATGAGGTCTAAATTATAAGAAAATGCATTTTCTACGAAAACTTGAAGAGATGGGTAAAAATGGTATAATACAATTTGATAGACAATTACATTGTGCATCTGATTCACGTAAAATATATAGGGTGTTCCATTTAAATTAAATAAGTTATTGCCGTTTAAAGCTAGTAATTATTTAATATAAATTTTTGGACACTCTGTATAAGGTAGTAAAATTTTTATTATTGCAACACAATATCTGATCAATAAATAATCTTCAGTAAAGATTTAGTATTAAAAACTTTGATACCCAGGGAGAAATAAAGCCTTAAAATTTTCAATGCAATTTCATAAAATTGAAAATATTTCAAAAACGGTAAGGTTTAATTGTGATAAACCTTAATCAAATTTACCTTTATTTCAATCGTAGAATCCAAAAATAGAATAATATACAGGGTGTTCCGTTTAAAAAAATAAAACTATAATATTTTTTACTTATTTGGGACACTCTGTATCTTGTAAAAATATTTTTAAATTGTAGCTCTAATAGACCTTCGACCAACCCAAAACTTACAATTTGTAAAAATCTAATCGTTTAGCTACAATACTCCGTGTCGTATGTGGTGAACAACCCTGTATGACCGTGCATTTTTTGAACACCCTGTACACAGACTGTTTTAAAAAAACAGTTACAAAATATTTGAAAAATCTTTTAATGTAATAATAGTTTCCCGTTAAATGTTTGGATTGCAGTACGGCCGCCGGGACTATACAGGATGTTCGAAAAAGTGCGCCAAAAATTGGCTTAACAAATTGCTGGTGTGGATGTGCTGTAAGCCGAAGCATTATATCCTACTTTGAACGTGTGCTTAAACTTACAAAAGACCAGCTTTGATTGACTTGATTTTTATATTACTGTAAAAACCCTTAACATCTAAGTAAAAATAAGTGCAGGCTATTCCTTAACGAGCCTCATATTATCATGATTAAGTTTTAAGCAGTTAGAATATTTTGATTTTATTAAATCGCCTTTTTTATTATTTATACCTACATAATTATAAGTCTACGGTAGTTAAAATTTTAAAAAAGGTTAAAAACTATGTTAAAAAAGTGACTATAGTATGAACTAAGTACCGTCTGCTATCTACAAAATAGAATCACTCAATATATTGCACAAATAATTATAACGGGTTTTACATCGATTCAGGACATGTTATAGAAAATCCCATGTAAATTTTAAGGGTGTCGATTACTGGCTCTCCTGTTAATTTTAGATAAAACGTTTAATATAAGTTTTTAATGTACTGGATAAATAACTTTGAAACTCCTACGCTAAGCCGTATTTAATTTATTTGCAAAATAAGATCCTTAATAAAAGTAATTTGTACAAGGGTAAAACACTCCGGCCATCAGTAATTTATTAATATATTTATGACATTTATATTGATATATTTTTGAAGCATTGAAGCACAAAACATCCCCCTTTAGAACTTTTTCTTTAATGGCCATAAGCGAGAGTAAAAGACCAACCGCCCGAGCAAACACTAGAGGCGCCACCGGTCATCCAATGGTGTAAAAATTGCGAAAATTTAATCATCTAATTTTGACACAAGGGGTCGCGCTTAACTTTTTCAATTTTAATTCAATATTCATTGTTTTCAAACTATATTATTAGACTTTGTTGTATTTTGTGAATGTATAAATGTTTTCTTAGTATAAAGTTGCATTAAAATAATTTAAATTATATTTCTAAAACGTTTTTTTCGTTTATAATCTGATAGTAAAGTAAGAAATATTTGCTGAAACTAATATTAAATAAAAATATTTAATTCAATGATAATAATTAGATTGTAATGATTTAAACATAGTGTCTAAAAATAAAACTAAAAATGTTGGCCGTAATTTTTTCTTCATTTTAAAGATTTAAACATAATATAGAAAAATTAACATTTTAATATTTATTAAACGTACCTAATTTCTGCCTTTCTTTCTTCAAAATATTTTTTTCAGCTGTTGTTTATTATTTTAATAATCATTTTAATAATACTTTTTTTTAACAGATTGTTATCTAAAAGCTACACAAGTTTATTTTCAGTTCAGTTTGTTAAGATAACGATGGAAAACAAAATTATCTGGTTAAACTAAATAAAATAAAATAATAATACTTTTTAAACAAGATTGATTAATGTTAATGTGTAGAAAATGCGCAAATCTATGGGTAGAATATTTAATTACATAAAAAAGTAGCAAAGTAATGTGAAAAAAACGCATCATTGTATCTCCACTCATAAACGAGAAATCCCAAAAAACACACGAAAATGAGACACCCTGTACGCATGTGATGCGCAGTAGTGAACGCAACCTACCGGCGCGCGGCGCGGCAGCCAGACCATCCTAAACCTATCTAATAATTAATTACCACAATAATCCTTCAAAACAAATGAAAGTATCAAATTCTACTTATATACACTACAGATCATAAACCCATAAACGCCATCCGGTCTGGTGATAAAAAAAAAACAAATATTTAATACTTTACTATCAGAATATAAACGAAAAAAAGATAAAAAAAGTTGCACCCTCAGCCAGTATCGAACCACTGACCTTCGCTTAATAGGCGGAAGCTCTACGCGCCGAGCTAATGGAGACTTACTCGGTTTTTATTCAATACTAGAACTTAAAGCGCTAAGTAAAAAATATAGAATCTTCTTTGGATGCGCAGTAGTGAACGCAACGTGTATCGGCAGTCAGATGGCCTACACGCTGTTCCAGAGAGCATAATAAAAGATATACCAAAGGACCAGACGTCTTAAAATACTTTCTCGAAAACGTTGCTAGCTCTCTAGCTTCTAGTTTCAAACTGTATTTTATTTACAAAATTAAAAGAAAATAGTAATAAATTTGAATCATTAAAAGCTTGGGAATGCGACCGTTCCAAGAATAGCGCCAAATAGTATTTACATTGTCCTTATGGGCATTTTACAATAAACATTTTACTTAAACTTGTTTCATTTATCTATGGTTTGCATGACGTTCCTCGTCCAACGAGTATTTCACCGTTGGCGTTGTACGAGTTACTTTCTTTAAGGATCTAATTATGCAAATAATTTAAAAATAAACAATGAAAGAGTTTCATTGTTGATAGATAGCTTGATATAAATCAGTACTTTAAAAAGTTCCATTGAAAGTTTCTTCTCAAATCAATAGAGGAGCAAATAATCGACATCCTTAAAATTATCATTAGAATCTTCTATGTCCATGTTCTGAGCCGATTCATAATCCAGTACAAATAAAAATGGAATAAAATATTACCTAGAATTACTATTATAAAATGCAGATACTAGTACGCCATCTAAGTTATTATAACACTTCTGAATCTCGTATAATAATTATAATATGGTAACTGAAGTAACGACGACAAACACAAAGTGTTTTTCAATTAATTTTTAGTTTTGAGTTTTGGTTTTGAGAGTCAGAAATAAAATTACAAAAAGTAAGAGAACGTACCATTCAAATACTATAAGTAGTGTATTGGATGTGACAAGTGACAGCATCTTTTCTTGATGCGTCGCCTGATGGTCTTCCATCAATATCTCTGTTGAAACTCGTGGTGCCATCGGTTGAAGTCGATGTGAAAGACCACGATCGATCCTAGCGCTAGACCCGCTAGCAAAAACCTGAAAGAATGATGTTTATGAGTATAATCAAGAGTTTTCTATGTTGAATATAATCTGTCCATTGAGTCCAAGAAGATTGCGACAGAAGACATCCAAAAAATGACAGAATATATACAATTATTTATTAAAATTAATTAAAGTGACCGAGTCAGAACCATGAAAAAGATTCATAAATGCAATTTTTCGTATAATTCATAATGTCGTGAATACTGTTGATGACCTCCCAAAAACAATAAAATTTTTGTACAAATATACCTTTCAGATTCGACTCTCACCAATGAGATCTAGGAAACGGTAGAGATATACGCTGGATGGCTTAAACTACAGGCACGGCATATAAATCACACGGCAGGCCGACTCGCTTTGGCGGGAACGCTACGCACATATCCTTGCGCACGCCGCCATTATGGGTGCCAGCAACAGAAATTAACCAGTGTCATAGTCAGTCGTAGTTTTTGTCATCGACAACATACAGTTACGGCAGCTCTGAGTCAGTAGCGTGCGGCTTAATTTATTTCATTCCTTTCTTTAGTGATATATTTTGTTTTTTAGTTTTATTTTCGTTTCTTTTGTGTTATATTTTGTTTTTGTAGTGTTATTTTTGTTTTTCTGAAGGTTTTTAATATAATAGTGGTTTGGTAATGTATTATATGTATATATTATATCACTTATTAATAAAATATTCTTCATACCAATATTTTTAAGTTTAATAATTGCGTCAAACACAATTTCCTTCAAATGGTTACCTGTGAATGTAGTATGATAAAAAAATAAGCTAGGGATTGCTTCTAATTGGTAAAGATACCACTTACCATAACAACATTAGAAACCGAGCTGGTTTAAACTCTCTGTTTCCCTTCTCCTGGTCCTCAAAACCCACAATATTATCACGATCACTATTATAAAATAAGTTGAACTTGATATTCATATCATCAATACATAGAACACAATATCGATTAAGTTTATCCGGTTCATCGAAACTTTCAACTTTGCTTTTTAGAGTCTCAAATACACTAAGATTTTCTAAGGCAGGTTTGATATCGATGTCATATATTCTTTTTCTTAGTGTCTCTGAAGAATATCACCAGACATTTATATTTAAATTCATCAGATTCTTCCTTTAGCTGATTTGTTAATTAGCAAAATTTGAGTATTAACAAAATTTGCTACGTCCATTGATAGACATAATTTGTACGTAGCCTCTTTATATTGTTCAACAGATATTTTGTTGGGTATTTCTTTAATTCTTGTATGTAACTCCTGGCATGTTTTTTAATTTTAATTGTCTATTCTCTACAGTTAAACGTTTAATTGATTTTCTCATTTTTACTTTTCGAGGAGTATGCGCGGTTTACGATTCATTTGTTTAGATAAAAGTACTGTGTAAAGAAAATTTAGTTTCAGTCAATTACAGTATCTTTGTAATACGACCCTGTCTATCAATAGTTTATTTTCTGGGAAATTTTTTGATACGTTTTAATCCGGCCCTAACTCGGCACCCATAATGGTGTTTTCAGGGTCAAATTATATAGAAATTTTAAACAATGGAATCTGGGCAGAGTTAGCCTGCCGGGTGATTTATATGCCGTGCTACAGGTGTGTAGTTCGTGAACGAACTAGTTACAATGAACTATTTCGACCCCAGAATGAAGTTCCCGGTTTCTCAAAGAACTAGTTCCTCAGTACCTATTCCAGGACCAGGCACGATCGTAGCCCTATGCTAGGCAGGAGTGGGGAGCGGCAGCCGTATGCTATCGGATCCAGACCTAGAGGACCTAAATAAAAGACTAGTTTATGTACTGATCGGCCAGCGCGATCGCAGGAACTAAAGACCTAGAGGAACTACAGGAACTAAATAAGAGACTAGTTGGCGGATAGGCCAGCGCGATCGTAGGCCGATGCTAGGCGGGAGTGGAGAGTGCCAGCCGTATGTTACCTGTCCCGGACCGAAAGGAGGGAGAGGAACTAATTAAAAGACTAGTTCACGGGAATCTATTCAGCCGGCAGATCCGAAAAATACTATAATACAAGGCGACGACGATGTATTCGACGAATTTCTAGCTAGCCGAATCTATCACGAATATCGATGCTAGGTAGATTCTGATGATGTCTAAAATAAAAATTGGCGAAACGTTAACTTAATGATATAATTTCAAATTAAACCAACAATACCTAGAACCAAAATCCCAATAATACAAAAAATAAATTTATATTCAAATGAAAGTTCAAGTAAATACACAAACACTTCCAAATAGAATGATGTACAATGAAGAAAATTTTCATAAGAGGCAATGTGTTAGGGAGAGATGGGTATACGGATCACTTTGTGATGTGCGTGTAATGGTGCGTTTAGGCTTGAGCACGCACGAGCTGAGCGTGTGCGCACGGTATTCGTTCGCGCTCTCGGCTCCGGTCAAATTAAAAACTTATTTTTCGACGAATGAAGTGATTTATTTGTGCGCGCACAGCAGAGTTGTGTTGGCGAAAATAATGGACGACCAAGAAATAGTCGAGACTGCAGTCATTGTTATGCACAGCTTAATTATTAAAAAGGAGAAAAATCGAAAACATCGTCGCTGGTGGCAAACCCAAATTTTTAGAAATCGATATAATTTATTGCAACAACTTAGTGTCTGAGGAGGTCTATGATTAGTTCAAAAACTTTACAAGAATGACCAGACCCGACTTTGAATATTTACAAAATTTAATAACACCAAAAATTACGAACAAAAGATACAAATTTTAGAATAGCAATTTCATTACCATCGACATATTCTTCAATTAATAATAACGAACATTCATTGATCCACTCCATAATTTTAATAAAGAAAACGAAAAAATCACACACGTACGCACGAACGCAGACAAAACAAATTGCCGGTGCAAAATGAGCGTTCGCGCACACATAAAATCCCTTTGAGCACGGACCAAAAACCGACAGCAGACGGCTCACAAAATTTATTTTTTTCCGGAATATCTCTGGAAACGACAAAGATAAGTTCAATTACTAAAATTGAAAAAAATTGAACGGATTATTATTGCTAACAAGCAACTTTGCCCCAATTTAAGTTGTGAATAAAAAAAATAATTTCAGAAAAATTGTTTCTCTAGTAATCGCAAAACAATTTCCGATGCACGTGATTAACTTTCGCTCATAAGCGATGGCGACAGCGCTGCCATATTGTTATGGATTTAATGAATCTTAATGTAAAATAGGGAAACAATTATATTTATTATCATTTTTTAAAGATTTTTAAGTTTTATTTTTAATTTAATAATTCATATTTTAGTAATTAATTTATTATTTATTACTTCACTGACTACAGTTAAGAGTCAAGGGTAAAAAAAATAAAGTACTTTTATTGTCACGTTCTCGTTCAAAATAGTTTATCAGGGAGGCTACAAGCCTTTGCTTCGTCTGTTTAAATGCTTCGGCATATTTTCAACAGACAATTTCAAGAAATGCAATACAAAAAAAGACGAAAGTTTAGTTCTTTAATGAACTGTTTGTTCTTAAAAATACAACTTTTAAAAAAGAGTATGAAAATTGGCAAAAAACGAGAATTACTCCCAAAGATTCAACAACAAAACGATTATACAAAATAATGACTGGCACTATGATAATTGTCCTTCCCCTAGGAGATGCAAGACCTTGTCGTTGGTGGGGAAGCTCCTGGTCAGGTGCTGGGGGGAATCCCCTCTAGCACTTGGCTTGGTCTAAGAAGCATCTCACTCATCGTCTTGTCCCTGACTGTAGTGTCGTGGCCAGGGAATTACACCAAGACATATAACGATACCGGGCGGGGCTACGGACAGCCTCAACCTTGGGGCACCGGGGGCACCCCATTGTATTTACCCCTTACTTCTTCATGCGGGCTGTGTAGAAGTGGACCGACTGTCCCTAGCGACTCATAGGAACATTATGAGATCTGGTAATAATAGTAATAAAAACATCACCGGTGAAGCTGTGGGGAAACCCCCTAGCGATACTGGGAACAGTAACAATGAAAGTTCCAAGGGGCCAAACCCAAAGAGAACTACAGGAAAGGTGGCTGACACTTGCGTGAGACCATCCTCCGCAAGTGACATACAAGCTACCACCTCCTCCAAGGGTCGGGAGCCTACCTCCTACCTCTAAACCCAACAAACGACACAAGCTACCGTTTCGTCTACCCGGCCTGGGTCGCAGCTCCTCGACTGTGAGGGACACGGGTCTCCGTAGGAAGTCCTGGGACTGTATGATGAGTTATAACTCAAGAAAGGGGGACACAATAGATCTCTAAGGTCGCAGAGATTAACCCCTCTCCCACTTATTCTAATTCTAAATGATAATTGTCAAATAATAAACGACAACATTGCTGAACACGGAGCAATGTGACCAATAAAGCAGTAATAAAATTCGGTTTAAACTAATTTTGCAACTTTAATCTAAATAAAATGACCAAACCAAACCAAACCAAACCAAACCTACAATCATTTGCTTTATAAAGTAAAATGAAGAGGTGCTTAGATTATTATTATATTATATTAGATTATACAAGAAATTTAAACATTTGGTCGACATTTTATTTAGTCTGGTTTATAGACTAGCTATAGCTTTAGTGTCAATTTCGATATGATGATGCATCGGAAAATATTTTGCGATTAGTTTACTTACTTTTGATCATGCGACAACGCTAGAGACCTAATGCTACTATCACAAGCCGGAAATGCATAGAGTAGAGCTAAGTTAAATGTCCTCCATACTTCCACGATTCCTTTGTCACCTCCTGTCATAAGATATTCTCCATCACGGCTTAAGAGCAGGCACTGGAAATATCAAAAATGTTTAAGCACACTCCTTATAATACTATCGGTTAAACATACCTGAAGATTGTCGTTATGAGACTCATGTCTAAGACGTTTTCCGTTGATGGTAAACGAAGCCACGTTGCCTTTTTCATAATTTACCACTATAACTCCTTCTCGAGACATAGCGATATTTTCTGGAGAATTGAATCCGCTTGGCGGTTCTAGAGATCTTAGAAGGTCGCCGAAAGTGGTGTGAACTAGTACAGGACCGTCTTAAAAAAATAAAAAAAGTGGTTAACATTGTTGAAACTCATATAAGTAATACTCCTATAAGACTAGTAAAGACTTTAAGCATAAACAATATACAGAAAGCTATGAAAATAAATAAATCAAGGATATCAAATTAACCTATCAACTACTATATATACTCGGGTCATGTGGTATGTTTTCCTTATATAAAGCATCACGTGTAGTGCGGCCAAGCGCCGGTGTTGTTTGGAAGGTCGTTTTCGTTTCGTTCTACCGTATGATCGAAAAAAAAACGGCGTCATAAAATGAAGATCGCTTTAATTTTATATGTAAAATTATATGCGGAATGTCAGATCTTCATTTCCAAGCCAACTGGGCGCTTATTTTTCGAATACGGTATACTTGTATTCATTTAAAACTTCCCAATATGGCGGACTTCAGTATGGGAGGCAGGCGGATGAAACTGCCATTTGAATTTTGAAAACACGGCGGAGTTTCTGCCAGTAGAGGGATAGGTGGCGATGCGTAGAAATTTCATCTAAAGTCCCTAGACATTCATCTAGGGACTATAATTTCATCATGATTTTATCAAGTCATCCACAGAGTATAGTTTAATTAACAATTCGTTTGATTCTCTGTTGAGTAATTGGAGTAGTTGAAGTAGTTGAAAAATATAAATATTTATATAAAATGTTGATAATTTAACAGTGATGTGCTTTGTTACTCTATGAATAAATATTGGTATGAAGTTTGCTTTCGCGAGAAAGAATTATAATTAAATAATTTAGTAAAAATTTAATTTCTAAATGACCCGGATCAGTTAGATTAGTAAAATAAATTGAAAAATAAACGTCATTCCATATTTGGCCAGTCTGTCAGTTTCGGTAAAGTGAAAGTGAACGAAGTGAATTGTGATTTGTTTTTATGGGAATATTTTACGGATTTTCTCGAATTTAGAGTATTTTGGACGATAGGATTGTGAAATTTAAGAGCCAAGTAGTTCGATATATAAGATTAATTGATCCCTGTGATAATTTTTATGGAATCTCTCATAATCAAAACAAATTCTTTCAACAAAATGGCTGTCTCAGAAATTTGGAAGATCATTAATTTTAAAGTTTTATTTAAATGAATTTATATCGAATCAAGAATTTGTATAACACATATTAAAAGCTTAATTTTAAAGGTTGTGCAGTAATTTATGTAAGTATTCGCTTTTAGATAAATATTAAATAAATTTGCACAGACAAACAAGTAATTTTAAAAAGATCATTTATTTATTTAAACGAGTATAATCATTAATCATTTAGTTTGAGAATATATTTGTATTTACTTATTTATATATTTTCTATACCCTTGTATTATTTATAAGCTTTATATGTCCTGTTTTGTTTGTAAAAAAATGCTTCGAGTCATCGAGAATAGATTTACTAACAATTTTGTCCCTTGGCTTTGTGTATTATATAACGCGAATTGTAAGATGTTTCTATTTCAATAGGTCATTAAAGTTGAGATTAAAGTTATATTATCAAATTATATACACGTTAACTAGGTATATGTCTTTTATATAATGATTTATTTATTTATAATTTATAACCCCTTTTTTATAATTACTTATAACTGATTGTATAAATTCTGATAACTTTTATATATACTTGTATAGTCTTGAATGTGTTATATGTAATTTTAACAATGTTATAATAAAATAATCAAGTTACAGATTTTTCGTGTTTTATTCTAATTTCAGGGATAGTTTCAACCTAGATTATTAATTTATTTGTATCAAAATACATTATTTTTATTTTGTAAAGTGTTTTGTTACAAATAAATTCATAATCTAGATTGAAATTATCAAATATAAGTAAAAAACTTATGCACTGGCAGTAAAAGTCCATTTAAAAATATGGCGCGAACTTTTAGTTGTGCCAGTAGCCCGCTTGGATCGCGTCGAGCGCGTGTTTCCAGGCTTTAACATAGGAGTTTTCATTTCTTTCAGTTAGTTATTCTATGATGGGAGGCTTAAAAAATGAAAATCTCTAAACTGGAATCGACTGTACTTCAAATCGTTCAAATTGATAATCTGTGGTAAATCCAATTGAACTCTGACACTTGGCTGACATTGACGTTTACAGTTCCTTTTTCTAAATATTTTCTTTATTTTTTTTTAGTTTTTATTCACAAATTCTACTTGATTTTGTTCTTTTATTTAACCTGCAACCTGCAGTACTAATTATATAGTTATAAATAATCTTTTCACCGATCAAGAATTGACGAATAGGCTGTAAGATATTCAAAATGTGTAAAACGCTTAAAAACGTATTAGAAAACATTGACTCGTTCACAAATTCGTGAAAATAAATTAGTCCAGATGTTTGTAAAAAGGTCTAATTATTTTGAGAAGTTTCATCGTATTTTTCAGGTTTGTAATATGTACTATATGACAATAAATAGATTAAAACTTATATTTCAGGAAACAGCGCGGGCATTACAGATTGTTGTAAATCAGTTTTAAAATATAAAGAAGGTTTAAAACAGGTTTAAAAGTTGAGTTAGTAGAGAAGACCTAAATAAGGTAATGTTGGTAATGAGAGACCAAACATCGAATAACACTTGCAATATATAATTATGTACAATAATTGTAAATAGTTTTTATGAATCTGTTTGATATCTATTGCATTGTTTTTATATTTCTTGAAATATATATTTTTTACTTTACAGGATACACAAAGAATAATAAAAAATACAGTTACTCACTAAAAGCACTTAAGGTTTGTAATAGATGTACAGTACGTCTGTCCGTTCTGTAGCTACGGGGTATCCGTGAGAGGGGAAACGATATTCTCTCCATATTTTTCGTAAAAAATTAGACGACGCGTTCCATCAATAAAAATTCGACAAATTTGCAAGTAACCAATAAAATGAGTGGGAGGAGCGATTTGCGGTGACGTACTCGTCAAGTCGACGTATAAAATATATTGTTGTTTATTTAAATGTTTTTTGTCCGCATTCCTTTCATAGACACAGATCCAACAGATGTACTGTAGTTAGAATATCAAACACCAAACCAAACCAAAAATTATGTTTTATTTTACTGGTATTCCTCACATTTGAAGGGAAAGTCATTTCATAAATACGCAGGACATTGTATTACACTCTATATTAATAATTGTTTTTTATCCTATACTTGTTAGTTAACGCATCACTTACTAGGTATAAAATTTAGTACTGATTAACCTATAGTTGTTGTTGTGATATATTCTGATGTGTTTCTGGCAATTTAAAATAAGTTAATATTTAAACAAACATTTCTGGCTTTCCTGACAGGAGTGTGGACACAAATTTAATAAAGGTATAATGTGGATAATGTTCTGATTATTACAGTTTGCATGGATGTTTTTGTATGTTGTTATTTTTAATAATGTATATTTAATGAGTTTTTGAGTATTTCTTTTTCCTTCAGAGGATTGTGTTCTAACCTTTATATATTATAAATTTTCATAAATTATATCTACAAAATTTATTACCTTATAATTCTTTGCTAAATACTTTGTAGTTGATACAGTTTAACAGTATATAAAAGAACTATTTAAATAAGATGTTTGAAAATATATAGCTGTTTTTGCACACATCAATTCAATTTGTGATTAACTGTACTGAAATAAAAACAAATTAAGAGAAATGGGGTGATCTATCAACTATAACATGAAAAGCATCATCCTATTTCCAAGTCTTCTATTAATTTCACTTATTAAACAACTATAATCATTCAATAATCTTGATAATTCTAGGAACTCTCAGATATCGTCAAAACATAAAAACAAAAATTTACTTCCTATAGTTCTTACGTCCCTTTAACTGAAATATAAGAAACAGGGGAGTTAATATTCTCACTGAGAAAGTTTATAAAATACCTTTAAGTAAAATATCTTCGGATCTGCGGTAAAATACCTATATTCTTATTAAATAATTTCAATAATCTATGTTTTTATTTATGACAACCACCTAATAACCTAACTTTAACGTCAACTTGACAATCCTGAAAAATATTATTGTTAACCAAAGAGTAAATCAATTTCTGAATTCGCTAACGCCAACTTATTTTTCATTAAAAAAAATACCCATTTTCGTAACTAGGTCGGCCATATTGAGGAACTTTTAAAAGAATAGTACTTATAGTAGTGAGAGAATATCGCCGCAAAACATCGATGTTAAGTTTGACGAATAGCAAATCCCTACAATGCTATTTTGTAAAAATAGTGTAAAATATAACAACTTCTATTTCCTTAGTCTATTTTCTCAGTAAATTGAGGTTCCGTCATTTTAAAAATATTCGTGATTTTTTACGCAAATTGTAAAGTACATATTAGTATTGTTTTTTTCTGCTCTTTGGAAAACAATACTGTTTAATATTTAAATTTCGCGTCTCTAAATTGAATCACAATTATTGAGGTATTATAATTGCAGTACTCCAAATTACCGATTTACGATCGAAAAAAAACGGGGTCCAGATGGCTTGGGAATGACAATCGATAACATTTCTCATATAATTTTACATATAAAATTAGATAGCCATCGCTAACGCCGTTTTCTTTCGATCATATTGTATATGACTAACAATCCGAAAAAAAAATGGAAGAGGCGAGGAATTTTTAAAATTTTTTCTTTTCAACCAAGTTTAGTGATTGTTTAAAATAAATGATAAATATAAAAAACAAAGACTGAACCACATTTTGAAGCCCTAATGTTATAGTAAAATGAAAATTACTTTTTCTGTTTTTTAGAAAGCTTTCTATATTTTAAAAAACTGGTAGCGCTATCAATTAGATGAAAAGCATAACAGTTTTTATGACAATATACATATAAATGTATATAAACGTATTTGTATTAAAATCAAAATTTAGTAGATAAGCTCTAATCTATTTAACTGCACATTGACGTCACCATCGATGTATCGGATTGTTTAATATTGACACTGTTGTTAAAAAACATGGAATATTATATATCTAAACGTCGTACAAAATAGAAACCGTTGCATGTCATCGAGCACGTGCGTTGATTGTAGACAGCATTGTTGCCATATTGTAATCGGAAGAGAAATATTTTTGAAAAAGTTACTATATCTAAGATCTATTAAAAATTCTAAAATAAACTTTAAATTGTTAACAGTTTTTTAAATAGTTTCAAGCAGCGCTGAAAAAAATATTTAGCCTAATCGATAGCCCGCAACGGTTTTTATTTTGTACGACGTATACTTAGGTATTTGAATGACTTACTGTATGAACCTGAGACAACAAGCCCCAGTTCAGCAGATATCACGACACTGGAAACAGGCTGCTCGTGTCCAGTTAATGTCGCTCTAGGAGTCGGTACTTCCCCTTCTCCCACTATGGTTTGCGTTCGGGCATTCCAGTGCCACAGCAAAACCGTACAATCAGCCGATCCCGATGCAATGTAACAATCGGAGGTTATGTTACATTCCGATCTCGACAGACAGGTCACTACGCCATAATGACCAAAGACGATCTGGACAATTTTGGCACTCTCCGTCGAAAATACTCGAAAACTGTTGTCCCAGAAGCCGCAAGCGATCAGGAACTTGGAGTCGACAGTCGTAACGAAACAGTTCGAGCGTATTTTCAGATTTTGGCTAAAGTTGTCGCCCAGATTCCTTCTAAGCATCTGGTTCTGCTGGTTGCTGTTATTTGTGAGCGCTAAAACAAATATTCTGTTAGTATAGATAGGAGATAACTGGTTGGGTAGATACAAAAAACAGCACAATTAATTACAAAACACGCTAGATATAATGCAATATTATGAGTACAAAAATATTAACTCCATCAAAAGCATACCCATCGAGTCATCGTAAAAACATGGTCTGGATTTTAGCGTGCAAGACCGTGATGTAGACAACTTAATGAAAAATAAAATGTATTAAAAAGAGATAAAAGTTGGTTCATTTTCCAAGAGTATGGTTTAGGTATGTTGGATGATATTTTTGCTGTTTTTGAGACACATTCAGACACCATAGATAATTTTATTTCTAAGTTAAATAATCGTTTTCCTTCCATTAAATTTACGCATGAAATTAAGAACAACGATAGATTACCATTTCTAGATGTATTAGTTATTAGAAATACTAATAATTACCTGGAATTTGATATCAATAGGAAAAATACGACCACACGCAGATATATTCCTAATGAATCACATCATAGTGTTTGAACATAAAATGGCTAGTTTAAATTTCTTAGTTCATAAATTACTTAGTTTCCCACTTTCCAACGAAAGATATGAAATAGAAAGAGATTACATTAGGAATGTAGCTGAGTGTAATGGATATTCTCCTTCACTAGTTGATAAATTAATTAGAAAACGTAGGTATAGGTTAATGGTTTCTGAAAATTCGACTTTCCAAGTGGAGAAAGATACGTCTAAATATTTTTCGATACCGTTTGATAGAGAGTTATCCCGTGGTCTAAAAGGAATTTTTAAGAATGTCAATTATAAACTTGTGTATAGTGCTAATAATAAATTACAACAATTATTAGGTAATTCAAAGGATAAAACACCTCCACTGGAAAGATCGGGTATTTATGAAATTTCTTGTAAAGATTGTAATCAGAAATATGTTGGGCAAACTAGAAGATCAATATTAACTAGATTTAAAGAACATTTAGCTCAGATAAGATATGGTAGACCGGATAAATCTTGCGTTGCCGAACATATTGTTGATAAAGAACATTGTATAGATCTTAATAATTTAAAATTAATTAAACAAGTCTCAAATTACAGGCAATTAGATGCATATGAAAGCATCAGAATTAATAAATGTAAAGATAGTATGAACAGAGACAAAGGTCCAATTCCTTCAAGTTCTTTGTTCCTACTACTCTAGTGGCGGAAATATAACTGTTACGCTCAGTGGGCTCTGACTCGGTTGGCTAGATTTTGCCACGCCCACTCGGTGCCCACTGAGCGAATATATAAAAGCTCAACTTGTAGATTGTACTTTAGTTTATAATCATCTGCTGATGATGCTAACATGGTTAGCGAAACGTTTTAGTGTTTTTATTTTGCTGTGTAACACCAAAGGTTCCAACCCTCAACTGTAACATTTTCTCTATGCGGTATTGCCGGATTTTACATCAAAATTACAAACCGCACAAGTAGGCGTTTACGAAATATATTGCACCTAGGCTTGAAACTTTATTTTTCACAATTAGTTGTTTCAATCACTCATTTTACTACAACTATAGGTAGGTACCTGTACATGTAATTTCAGTAGTATACATGAACGTTTTTAAAATAGTTTATTTTTTAAATTTATTTAAGGCTAAGATAAAATAAACTTATACCGGGTTGACAAGAGAGGGGTCTTTGGTCGGCGTTCGCCTACATGTCTAGAAGTGAATAGCTATAGCGATCTTGTTAGTCGGAGAGAGAAAAACGCGAAGGGTGTCTCACTGTTGGAATTATATGTATATTTTCTTGCCAGTGGCTGGCAGGCGTTGACATCGGTCTTAACGACATTTGGAATCAGTGTTATAGCAGGCATAGGCAGTCTTCTTCGCAGTCACTGGCAGTCGTGTGGCAGTAAAATGATATTTTGACAGTCTATGTACATTATTTACCCAAGTGAAACACCTCTTGCAAAATGCGAAATTTATTACCTAACATATCCACACAAATCCCTGCTTACAGAACTCTCATCGTATCATTATCAGTATTATCACAACACAGTTCTTTCACTACAAAATTTGTGAGATCTCAAATTGTTATCTAATCAATTATAATGATCGCATCAATGTTAGACATCGTAATTTCTATAATAACTGTAATGGCTTGCACTGTTTAATTTTACATACTTAGTAACTAAAATAATAAATTATTCTTTTAGAATTATCTGTCCTGCGAGATAATGCGTGTAAGTCATCCTCCTTTTTTGTCGAGTAATCATTCAAAATAATATCAGTAGGATAAATAAGCAGTATTAACAATCAAAATTATAAAACAAAAAGACATTCAAAGCAGTCAAAATAAAAAGAAGAGAATCGCTAAAAAAATTGAAACCAAAGCAATCAATACTCGCAACTTCTGTCGATTAGATAATCACCATACCGGTAACGGCTAGACGCTTGAACTTTAATATTCATTAGTTTTAATTTTACCAACATTGGGATTGGAATTATTAAATTTTTTCTTCCTGTAAGCGGGCCTCACACGATCAGTTTTATTGACATTCTTTTAAAAAAATGTCAGTAATATTGACAGTGTGAGGGCAAAAATACTGATCGATCTGTCAGTATACTTGTATACTTTGGCAATCCCGAGAGTATTTTGGGATACCGAGAATATTCAATAATGCGCTAACTAAGGGTGTATTCCGTTGCTCCACAGTGCGGCGGATGGTTATTCTAGCGGGACAAAATCTCAAGAGCAATGTTTGGGACTTAAAATCTAAGAACGTAGCAAATGGTCTAATATATAACAACTATATGGTTAAATTTATTTATTTATTAACAACTTATTTTATTAATAAATAAATACAAGATAATAAAACTATGATATTATTTGTACATGACACTCAAAAACCGTATTGTAAACTATTGCCAAATACATAAAATTATGATATCAAAAAACTCTTTCGCAGTTTTTTTTAATTAATTTGTAATCTTGTGTCACCCTCTATAATTTATTTTAAAAAAATATATTTTATTTTGAAAATAATAAATAAGATAGATATTTTAATTTTAATTTTAACACTCGGTAATTGTAAATTCATATATAGTAAGTATCTAAGACAATTTTTTAAACTCAGTGCCTTTTGAAGGAGTTGTTTTGTTTTTATACTATCCGATTGAAATGAATCTTTTTGGGCATTCACCTGTTAAGCTTGAACTCCCTGTGACTGTGACTAACTGTGTTGGTAACTATTGGTAACTCAAAAGATTTACATCATTCAATATATCGATATTTGAAAGAAAAAGTGAAAGTTTGATATCTACAGAACAAAGACACGAAGGATTTTAACAAATAATATACGTACAGTAGAAAAGTACATACCTTTGGCAATCTTCAACATAATTTGGCTTTCTAATAAAATGTATAAGCACTTGTAAATATTTTGTTTTCGTATGATCTCTGCCTTGCTGAGCAGGAAACGACCAAATTTGGTTGATAAAAATGTATCGAAATACAAAGCATATTCATGCATTTTTGTATCAATTGGAATGTCTACTATTTATTCTTATCAGTACACATTTTTTGGCTTATTTCTAACCAAACGCTTTTGTCCCGCTAAATTTATCTTCCAACGCACTGTGCGCTCGTCCGTCAAATGCAAAAATAACTGTCAATGTCTAAAATCTTTAGCGCCAACTTCAACTCGGTCAGTAGATGGCGTAAAAAAACTGACAGTGCAGGAAGATAAGAATCGAACTATCCTTATCTCTATAGTATCCTTGGGTTTTCCTGGTTTTGTTTGTCAATCAATGTCATTTATGTGACAGAAATCAAGCAAATATTGGAAGTTCGAGTGAAATTCTTATTTAATTTCTAAAATTTGTAGTAATATTTTATATTTACATTCAAAAGCAATGGACGTAGGCAGTAAAGGTAAATAAATTTCAATAACTAAATAGAATTAATTTTCAGGACCATTTAAACTTATCATGCAGCCATTGTTCCCTTTCAACAGTAAACTAATCTTCGTTGATGAATTTCACTTGCCGACATCTCAAAACTTTGCAGATTTGTCGAAGTTAAATTCACTTAGTTATTTCTTAATGGAGCATAATATATTCAATTTCTAATTCATACATCATTCATTTTGGTTTCTCCATGGTTAAATATAGTAATATTTGACGACGAATATTTTTAACTCTAACCCCAAAATATCGCGAATCGGTATGAAAAACAATTTTTAGCACACGACGCACTACGTCGCCTCAAACAAGACCCTAAAATCATCCACCATTTTGGTGCAAATATGGGTCGCTTAGACGTCGCTTCGATGTTGTCCGGCAACGTTGGGTTGCTCCTGGCGACGTTGTGATTACGTCGAACAACGTAATTTTGCTACTTGGGCAAAAATGCCGAAAAAAGAGAAAAATATGGTATACAGCATTATTAACTAGAGTGCTTACTAATTAACTGAAATAAAAATAAACCATTCCTGCCGTGCACAAATCCAAGATTCTACTAACAAGGAGATAGGAAAGTGTGTATAGCTTACATTCTAACTTACACAGAACGGGGTCCATGGATAATGGCAAATTGGCTGCCTGGTCCTTGGGTGTCTCTGCGTAGCTAGGAGATTGAGCTACGGCAGCGTATGCAGAATTCCATTTGTTGACCGCAAACTGTTGGTGCATCGAAACGGTCACCACTGAAGGGTTTGGCAGTTGTGGATAAGTGTTAGCTGAAATGTGAACGATCGGACTGTTCGACAGGAACTTCATCGTCATACAGACATCGTCGGGAATGCTGGAGAACATCATTGGGGACTGAAAATTGTAAATTTGAGTTAAAAATATAAAATTAAAAAGGGAGATTTTCTGAAATCAAAGATTTGTCAGCATTCGTGGATACAAGGTACAAAGTAGATTTTAAAGATGTAAAAATTATATATTCGAAAAAGCAAATGTTACCCCGTGCAGTTATGACATTCTCCATGTTGAAATTGCAAAAATTTTTAGAAAGCTGCGACCATTGAAAATAGTTAGCCTTAGTAACCCTTATTAACATACTAAAAGTCCCCATTTGTCCGATGTGTGCGTCATCAAAAAAAATCGGCCGCCATCTTGAATTTTGGTACTTTTTGGGAAAAAATATAAATAACTCGAAAACGGTTTGTTATAGTGAAAAACTTCAAGAGGCAAAAATTAAAGAGAATAAAAAACTCTATTACAATCAATAAAAAATTGTTTATTATCCTAACGCAATGACGTAAAAAAAAATGTGAAAATCGAGCAATTTTTAAAAGGAATCACCGAAATGCAAATTACTAATTTTTTAAGCTTATTAACAAATAACATGGATATTTAGCATAAATTCAACTGAAATATAATCCTTGTGACATTTTCAAGAAATATTTTTTATTGGTGGGTTAATAATATTTCAAAATTAACAAAAATTGTCAAAGCTATCCTTTACTAAATACATGTGTACTAATAATGTGCGAAAGCAGTCTCCACCTTGTCCCGGTCGGGGTTATTTGCACTTAAGCCAAGGTCTTATTGTTACCATTTTGTAAACAACTTGTTTTTAAAAATACAGTGACAATTTGAAAACTTAGGCTACAGCTTTGGCTACAGGTTGGAAGAAAAAAATAAAATGTAATGTAAACTGGCGACTTTCAAAACGTTGCAAAAAGATCCTCATCTGCGACAAATTACTTCCGTTTTTTTTTAGATCCTGCAGCACAAAAATCTGAGCTAGTGGAAGCTGGAAATACATTCCTATTTTCATTATATGGTCGACATAGGCTAGCAAAAGATTTAGATCAGTTGAGGTATTTTAAATATAAAGCCCTTACATCTCGTCAGGTACTTATAGTAAAAATTTGGATTTAGCTCCCTTACCTCCAACAACTAACGCAGCTGAAAATCATTGTTATGGGACCTATTTATAAATGCAGTATTGGCTAAATAACGGAGAAGAGGCAACAGAGTGTGGATGGAGTAAAAAATGGATACCTTAGTTCCAACAACAATGTCAAACGCAGTGGCACCAGAATTTGTATTGAAAATGATTTACTGTAATTGCAAATCGGGATGTAATAAACTATGTACCATTGCGATCAAAAAAAGTAGTACAAGAATTAGTAGTCCCAGATGGAACTCCTGGTCTATAAGGATATTTGAATTATATTGAATTTTTTTTTTTGGATTTAGCCAACAACACTGTTTTTTTTTGTTTATCCCTAATGCATCTGCAATGTCCCTTATGGGAACCCCATCCCTTAATCGCGTAAATATAATCGATTTTTGCTCTGAAGTTAAAGGCATTTTTTAAAAATTACGTGACACTGACAAGAATATAGACTAGCAGATTAAAGCCGAAGTCTCATGCATCCGAAATCCGATGACACGACGATCCGACGGTGCTCCTATTGGTCGAAATATTTTGACAACAATTTTTATCCGATAATTTTAACTAATCGTCCGACGTCGTATAAAGTTAAATTTTGTTTAACTTTTGTACGATATCGTGTGTTTTTTAACCTCACTTTTTTTGAAAACATTTGTTTTTAAAAACAAGTTTAGTGGGAAGTGGGCAATTTCGGGATATTTGGCGAGGAAGTTATTTTTATAAGTGTTTCTCTAATAAAACATGACATGAATCTCTATTCAGCGCAGCAGAAAAATGTTAAAACTGTCAAATTTCGGAACGAACTTTCGGATGTATGTGACAGGCTTTTTTTATTTCACACGATAACTTCAAATTTCGGATGTCGTACCATCGGATTTCGGATGCATGAGACTCCGGCTTAAATCATATTTTGTTGTACTATTTTTTTTAATCGCAATTTTACATGTTTAAAATCCAATATGCCATGTTCATACTTGTGTGGTAACTGTATGTGTGTATGGTATTTCTTGCGAGAACAAATAAATATCGGTCGATGAAGAACAAATCGAATAAAATTGTAAATTTCATTTTTTTTTCTAGAGGTGACAGTTAGGTTACAAGTTGGTAACACATTTTTATTAAAATGGTCATAATTTGAATTATTGTTATTCGATTTGTAGGGGTATGTTTATAATGTATTTATCACAATGAAAAAGTGTTAAGATCTTAGGTTAAGATCGTAGACGATATTTATGTCAAAAAGATATTCGCAAGTAGTTTATTACATTTTATTTTTTTCTTCCAACCTGTAGCCTAATTTTTCAAAATGGTAACAAAAAGACCTTGGTTTAAGTGCAAATAGCCCCGACCGGAACAAGGTGGAGGCTGCTTTCGCACATTATTAGTACACATGTATTTAGTAAAGGATAGCACCAATAAATATTTCTTGAAAATGTCACAAGAACTGTATTTTAGTTGAATTGATGGTAAATATCCATGTTATTTGTTAATAAGCTTAAAAAAATAGTAATTTGCATTTCGTTGATTCCTTTTAAAATTAATCGATTTTCAAAAAAAATTTGTACGTCACTGCGTTAGGATAATAAACTATTCTTTATTGATTCTGATAGAGTTTTTTATTCTCTTTAATTTTTGACCTCTTGAAGTTTTTCACTATAACGCACCGTTTTCGAGTTATTTACATTTTTTCCCAAAAAGTACCAAAATTCAAGACGGTGACCGATTTTTTTTGATGACGCACACATCGGACAAATGGGGACTTTTAGTATGTTAATAAGGGTTACTAAGGCTAACTATTTTCAATGGTCGCAGCTTTCTAAAAATATTTGCAGATTCAAAATTATTTGCACTAGCCTATGTGTTTAAGATTTCCCAAAAAAAGATAAATGATAAGTTAAATCATGTCTGCCGTGAATGGCGTTGCTGTGGGTGTGTTTAGTTGCATTCATTTGTTTCAACGAAACGTCAAAGTTGTTACTTCTCACAGATAAGAGGTAAATGGCTAAATTTATGTTTAAAATTATAAATTGTTGTTGTTATTGCGCTCTTTTTACGTTTATATTATTGTTTTGATTGAAAATGGCTCAGCAAGCTGCAGATATGTATTCTACAAAAACGTATTATTTATTTTGATATTCTCTATACTAACGATTTTTTTTGCAACTAAAAGTTAGGCGTTCAGAAAATTTGATTAAATTTGTGACATTTTTATTATACTTAGAGATTTAGTTGCGCATTTCGAAGAATTCAGCATATTGTCTATATACGTTTTACTTAATAAACGTTGGGCTTTCATACAGTAAAATAAAATACTGCGACTTTTTGCGACTTTGCTGATAAAATGAGAAAAACATTCTTGGTTTCCTCTAATTTGCCATTCAGTGATATACTAATGCGAGGTGCAAACCGCGATGGCATTGTTGTGTACAAAGCGATCGCATTAGTGCCATTAGCAGTATAGCACAATTTGGCATTAGTCGCGACTTTAGTGGTATGGGCATTGCTCGCGGATCAGTCGTAGCATTAGTAGTATTAGTTGCGATATTACTACTGGCATTAGTGGCATTGACCGTGGAAACACTGGAACAGTGATTTTTCTTTCTTTTTTTTAGAATCGACGAATTATCCTTTATTTTGTTCATATTATTTCCTCTTTAATTGAAATTATCAATAATTTATATAAGCTCTACATAAAAACAATTCGATCAACTATCTGTGTCAAATACCCCACTGTGGGCCGGCGCGAAGCACACGCATGGCAGTCAACGTGTTAATACTAACTTTGTCTACAACATTCAAAGTAACGTAGTAATTGTTAATTTAAAGTTTGACATGATGTAACGTCATTTTAACAAAACGTCAACAGTTTATAATAGACGTATCGGTAAAAAAAATCTTCTTGAATAGTCGTTAAATAGTTTTTCTTTGCTTTGTGTTTTATTTTTTCTTCTGACAATGTTAGGAGATAAACCTCCTGAAGCGTTAAAGCCGGGTTGATATGGTCAAAGTGTACTAGAACTGAATGCTGCTATTATAAATATAATATAGAAGTTATTTGTATGGGTATCAACCATTTTATCAAAGTCGAGTTGGAGGGCTTCAGTCAGTGGTGCTTACAAAAAAAAATATTGCAGTTTTTGTTCTAGTGGCGGAAACCCTAGAATTCTTTTCAAAAAGACATTCTAGTTAAACCAAAAATAGAGAAATCAAATAAGAGAAAAACAAAAAACTTACTAAATGCATTGCCGAACTGCGTGGTGGATGCGGCTCCATCAACAACTGGGAAGGAGTTTGACCGAAATTTCTTATTTGATTTTCCACGGCTTCTTTCATAACTTTATCTTGAATTGAATCCAGATCAACACTTCCTTCGTACGTCAAATAATAAAAACAGTTAGTAGCTCTCACGGCTTCGGGACCTTTCTGTTTATAACCGAAAATCAAATCGATCCATTGATGTAATTGACAGGAAACAAATTCCGATTCCAGAGCCATGCGATTAATTCTTACAAATTCTTCGGGAGTATTTGCCCACGGAGGCAATTCCACATCGTTTATGGGCCTGCCATCTTCATCAACGCCAAGCCGATATCTACTAGAGTTAATAAACATTTCGGGAAGGAAATAGAATTCGGGAATAAGCTCTTTCACATCAGACGTGTCCCTTTGACAATTCTTCCATGACAATGCTATCGAAGAAAATAGACGATTAGGGTAGTCAAATTTTCCTCCTTGCAAAGCGAGAAACATCGTAGTAAAGGGTTCCTGAAAACAAAACATTTATATTTAGATATTTCTTTCTCTCTTGCATCAAACATAAACAAAGTCCGGCAATAATGCATCGGGCATCTGTATAGCTCTTAGAATAACAAATTTTGTTTAAGTGCAGTTTAAATAATTTAACAGTGATGCCCCACCGCCGCCCCTGACCATTAAACCTAAATCTAATTACATCAAATTAAGTCCCATAGTAAGTGTTATAAACGGATCAAGTTATATCAAAATTGATTAAATAGTTTTTCAAATATCTTAATTTTTGTTTCTTTTTTAAGTAACTTTAACACCCTGTATCTCAAAAAGGAAGCTTTAAATCTTACAAGTGGATATGAACTTTTGTACTAGAACTATACAAAAACGCTACACATAAAGATTGGCACCCATAAGCGTGGGGCCTTAAGAAATTTTTACTCGGGACATTTCACTAGTGTAACGATTTTAGTTCGTTACATGTCTTTTTTACATATAATATATGATGTCTGGCCTATCGTCACCGGATTCCCTCTCGTTCAGGCCTGATCATTTTGTTGGTACGCTTGGCGTAATTTTTACGTTCCCTAGTCGCCAACCCTGCTATCGTTTCACTATTCTGTGGAGGCTCGCGCTGTCAACATCGGTTCTGTCAACTCTCTGTGATTTAACGGCACTTTTGGTTTGACCGTTTGGCCTGTCAGACGCCATTAGTCCCAGTTTTTAGAAATGGTGATTATTTAAGTGCTGTATAATCTGAATCAGCTGTTATTTCGAGGCTACAGGTAAAGATGAGTTATTACCTTTTATAGATTCGATATTATTATTGAATATTTTTAGAGTAGAGTTACGGATGTCCCAACTTGTATTTGTATTTTGCTGGCACGTTGGCGTCCCTTTTCTTTTGTCCTCCAGAATGTCACATGGTTAGTTACGGCTGTATCAATTCATGGTGTCCTCATTCTGGCCCCTTTGGTTGTGTTGGATGGCTGAGTACAGAGATGCGGGACCACCTCACGCTGTTACTGTTTAAAGCAAGATTACATAAAGAACAGCTAAGTGTAGATTTAAGTTCTAGTTTTACATTTAACATTTAAAACATTTACAGTCTTAAACAATAACGTACATCTTAAATAATATCGTACTGACTATATTTAGTGGTTAGATTATTAAAAACATCTTTGTCGATTTAGTTGTTAAAATATGATTTAGACTTTAGGTTTCATTACATTGCGCCTTGTAATAGTGTTACTTTTTTAGAGATATTATTATTGCACTAACATCATATAAAATATATCAAATTAATTAAAGTAATGCTACATTTCATATATTCTCTTAAACTTTACATGTCTTGTATTTTATCATAGTTGTTTTCATAGATATTTAGTACAATTCTTAACACCACTTTCGTTGACATATAACCACTATAATAATTATTAAAATTGTACAATGCTATTTACCATCACAATCCATCTTGAATAAATATAGTCATTAGTTTTAAGTAATATACAACTGTGTTTTCTTTCTCTGTACATGCCTGGCGCCCAATATCTATTTTTTTTTGTTTATTGTTATTAATTAGTTTTCTTTCCTTATTATATATATTATTTCCGTTATTAATTAGTTTTCTTCCAGTGAAATACCTTATCCACGACTGCTCTCCGATGAAAAGCTGCCGTTCGCAGTGGTAGTTGCTTAAAAAACGCTACACATAATTTGGCGCCCAACGTGGGACCAGAATGAGGACACCATGAATTGATACAGCCGTAACTAACTAGCTTATAGCTGGGAACGAAGCAGCATGGGACTCAAGCTACATCCACGATGTGGCACTTATATGTAAGAAAAAATCATTCTTACTGGGGACACTCGTTCACAGGACATTCAGATTATTTTTGCAAGTTCTATCGTCTATTAAATTTTTCCGATTAAAATCTGAGATACCCTGTATGTATAGCAGTGTAGTTAGACGATTAGTTCTTAAAAAACTCTTGAAAAAGGCCTAACAAGCCGAAACATATATGTAGAGTTAAAGTTACTCTTATTAAAAGTTTTTAGATACATCTAAAAGCGTGTTTTATTAAAATACTAATATTTCAACGATACAAGGAACCAACCACAGCTTCAGTACTATTTAAAAAAAATAATGTCTAAAATCGATAATAAAATTACGAATTTTATTTGACACTTGTCAAAAGTCAAAGTAAGAAAAGTACCGGTGACGTGCACGCCAACTTTTAATGATTTTACTATATTTACCAATCGTATCAACCAGTTGTAGACAAACGCCGATGTGGAGTAGTGAGTTCCGTAATGAAATGGTGGAATGCTCTCGTGCTCCCAAGTTGAGTACCTCTCTTCAAAGTAAGCTCTTCTGCTTGGGTTCAAAGCTCCAATAGGTTTGGAAAGGTCTCTGTAGTTGGTTGGTTGGCTCAGGTCGAGATCCTTGGACTCGAAGTTGGTTAACACCCATGGGAATACGGGGTACTGGTTGAGGTCGTTGTAGGTTCGACCTGAATAACAAAAAGAGCTGTTAGTAGCAATATGTAGGTACGATAAATCTTTGAATAAAAAAAATATTTTTTTGTCTGAACTCTCCGGAGGTCGCGCGCGGACTCACAGTCCGCAGGTACCTATTTTCCCGATATTTCGAAAATCTGGAAACATCAAATGCTGCACCGTTTAGTATATTCCTGTCTCTGCATATTTTATGAGATGTAAAAAAAAGTGTACGTTTGCACATCGTTTAGGGTAGTTAGTATTTTTTTATGTCGAACAAGCTATGTTATTTTACTGATTTGTTTTAATTGAAAATGAGCAAATTGTTATAAAAAAAGTAAATTCGACTTTTTATTAAATAAGTATTATTTTTTAGATGTACCTACTCTGCAAGAAAGAGTGCAACAGCTCATGCAAGATTGTTTGAACGAAGATGACGAATTAACTACTGAACATGATAATGAAAAGGAAGAACGAGCAGTGGATATTATATAAAAGCAAGGGCCTAAAATAGATTCTGATGAAATAATAAATTTCAGATTCTGAAGCTCTGAATACAGTATTACCAGAGGATCGACAGAATTATGATTGGCGGAAAAATAGAACAACTCGTTACTCTACGTACATTGGCACAATTTCGTATGTTTTAAGCTATTAATAGTAATATATAAATTAATATAATGTTTGCTATTTGTAAGCAAATTATTAAATAATTGTTATTTTGATTATCATATTATTTTATGTCTCTACACCACTAGGAACGCTTAAGACCTCTTGAATTTACTGTGAGTAAGTGATCACCCAAGCAGTATTTGGACGTCGGCGTCGGGACAACGTTGTGTCACGCGACCAAACGTCGGGGCGCAACGTCGGCACAACCTCGTGCCAACCCTAGTCTGCACTAGTTCGGAGAATAATTTTTGGGTCGAAACGACGTTGAATACCGACGTTGGCTAGAAGCCTAATTTAGTACAAACTGCAACGTTGTTTAAAATCCTAATTCACAGAAATACAAAACTAATATGGCGTCTAAGTCGCGTTTTATCCTAAATTGGGATAATTATAGTAAAAATATTATTTTTAAGATTTAGTTAGAGACATATGTCAGATGGCAGTGAAGGAAAACAAAACAAAAGTATTTAAGTGTGGAGGATGTTTGAAAATCATACTTATTGAAACACTTTAACCGACTCTGTAACTCGTTAACCAAGGCAAAAAAGTTAAACGCAAACAACTTTATTGATAAATGTATTGTTTCTACTTTGAAAAATACTAATAGGCCTTAAAATTAAAAAAGTTTTAAAAATTTTCTTGAATTTTTTTTTAGTAAAATGAGAATAATTTATTCGCAGTCGAAGAAATTGCTTCCGCGTATTTTTTAGGGTCAAATATTTCAAGTTAATGTATTCAAAAAGCAGGAATTGCTAATTTAGGAACGAAACATTTTCTTATTTAACAACATGGCGGCTTTCACTTTGTTGTTTTGGACATTAAGATGGAGTAGTTTGAGTAGTCGCATACTGGACTAATAAAGTCGCAGTTCAGCCTTAACAGGTAGTATACTAGTCGCAAGATTGCCAATTTATTCATCCTAGAGTCTAGCTTGTGCCGCCCTCTATATTCTAAATAAACGAGGGAGTGGATAAACTATCGGTAATATATGTCAATGTATATTTAAATTTAGTTTTATATGTACCTTTCTTATGTCCCATTTTAATTAAGTTTTTTTTTATAAAAACAAAAACAGCACTGAACTGTCTGACTGAACAGAACAATGAAGTGAAAATGTAAGATTTAAGGTTATGGTTCAATACAGTTGCAAAAAGGTAGTGACTCGACGTCCTACCAACGTAAGAATAAGGAAATCTAAACAATGTTGGAATTAGTAAAACAGACGACGTTTGCATAACGTTAGAATAGGTCCTGAAACTGACGTCGGAAAACTCTATATTGTTCAACGTTGTAACTACGTTGTCCAAATCACCTAAAGATCACTTAAGCAAAAAAGGTTACAAGACAACGTTTATTCGACGTCGCAGAAGCTTCTCTACTTTGCTGTAGTACTAGACAAAGTTATAAAAACGTTTAAATTTATTTTAATACCTAAGGTAGGGAGCTAACTATTTTTTGTAACTAATCCAACGTTGTGTTTAGTAAACATGTGGTCGCAAGTCGTGAAAATGCTACTTGGGCAAGTGATCAAGTGAGGACTGTGAGTCCGCATGCTAAATTCTTTCATGTAACAAATAAAGTGCGACCTTCGAAAGGTCAAGAAAACAAAATTATATTCCAAAAGCCCCAATATTAGTCCATAAGGATACATTTTCGAAAACTTCTTAAGGTAGGATCATATCAACGAATTAAGATGGAGCGAATTAATATGGCTAAATTAATGCAAAATTTCAGATCAAACAGATATCGTCTTATACGATAGTTAAGCAACATTAAAAACGATTAACTCAGTATCCATCAATTCGCTAAGTTGGTCAAAGAATGCCTGAACAAATTAGGCCTAAAAAAAATTATGTCAACACTCCACTAACTGTACCGGAACCGTTCTGCTTCCAAAGTGCAAACCAACTTAAAGCAAAACTCATGAACCTCGAAGACAATATCCGTCACCTGGAATGGGAATCCCTGAACGGTCCAAGAAAAATCCAAGGCTTTCTTTCATTTAAGTAAGAACAATCTTCGGATTGTCAAGGGATTTTTAACAAGAGTCTTTTTTTTAGTCTCCTCAATGAACACCTTGCAGCAGATCGAAGCTAAGAAACAACGGCGAATGCAGATTCTGTGGGGAAAATGGGGAAACATCAGAACGCCTCATCACTGAGTACGCCGAGACGACAACCATTCGTGCCATTAACTTTGGTACGACTGATATCGGAGATGGAGAACTAACCTCTGTAAAGTCGTCTCAGACACTGGCTTTTGTCAAAGCCCAAAGACTGTATAATGAGTTATAATTCAAGGAAGGAGACACAGTAAAACTATAAGGACGCAGGTGTGGTGATTAACTTCATCCCTCTTCATCTATATCCTTCATCTATATACATTTTTTATTGTTTAATCTTATCTTTGAATAAGAAGACTAAGGAAGGAGCATAATGTTATCCATGTATTCATGCATGGTGGGCGGAAAAAGGACTCTAGGGTGGGGATCCTTGACAATTCTGTTTGACGATTCATTTGACACATTTGAATTTGATTCGAAATTTTGTGGATTTGTCAGTCTTTAAGGAGCTTATTTTATGTTATTTATTATTTATTCTACTACTGATAGTTGTGTAAATGGATGTTTGTGTTAATAAATACTTATTATAACTTATCTATTTTTATTAGAATTATATATTTTTATTACAATTTTAATAACTACCAACATTTATTCACAACGTAAAATAAAACAACAAATTATTGAGTCTACCCCACGTCTACCCTACATCATAGTTTTACATTTGTAAAACTTGGAAAATAAGTTCGTCATAATAATGCTTTTATTTATTCACTATTCTAATAAACAATATGCATTCCTTCGGAAACTCTCTATTTATTTATTTGGTAATGCTAAAACACTCTATTTGAAAGCCGATTAGAGAAAACAGTATGATTCATTGGCAAGCGATGTAAATATTTGTGATCAGGTAAAATTGTGATGTAAGAGGAGGCTTAAGGCGGGTTCTCACTTGTCAGTTTCGCTGACGCAGTCTGACTGATTCATTATCAATGAAAAATAAAAAACAACGATTGTATTCACACGTTTCATGTTTTGCTACATTCAGTATTCAGTTGGTCCAAGCATTCTAATGTGGTGATTTCGTATAGACATGAAAATGGTTAAAACAAAATTGAAACCAGGTGTTCGCGAAGTTTGTTTACAATTAGCAAATGAATTACAGAATATTCTGGTGAATCAGAAAAGAAAAAAAAAACATCGTAGGTGGTCAGGTCCTGGATATTGCGAAGAAATAAACGGGGTGCTAGTGAAACTATATTAAAAGAATTAATTAGCTTAACTTGTAAACTGCACAAATCACGAAAATGTAGTTCTCACGCTTCAGTTTCTATTCATTATTCGATAATGATCAGTCAAAATGAAAAAAAGTAGAACTGGTTTTCACTTTAACTGAAAGTACGAATGTACTGATCATTTAACATGAAAATGTGTTCTGACGTTCATTGTTTGTTCAGTATCACTGAATCAGTCAGACTGCGTCAGCGAAACTGACAAGTGAGAACCCGCCTTTAGCTCGGTAGGCGGCAGGTCAGTCAGTCGTTGATAGGCCGGCCGGCTGTGTAGTGTTGTGTTTTGTCACAGAGCTGACAAGTGGAGGTTGCGAGTCTTTTGACTAATATAGTTGCAAGTCTTTTGACTGTAAGCCAACGGGGTCGTTTGACCACGGTCAGAAAACCTCTGTGACGTCTTGCCTTCGAGTTGGTCTTGAGAGTTTGAGGTCTCCATAATGTCTTCTCGATTGACGATGCGGCGTTGGGATGGTGAGCCACCCAAATAGCTTATTCGATTGGGATGCGAATCTGTTTAGCGGCAGAATTGCGTCCGGGGGAAGCCCCTATACTATTTCAGCTGACACCAGCTAGTTGTTGAAGATTATTAACCAATAGATCCGAATAATATTTGAATTAGATGGAAGATATGGAATGGGATATATTGAATAGAATGTCAGTGATGTCAGTGGCTAGAGTACCCCCGGGTGAGTCTTACTATTTAACTATCAATTTTATCCAGATCAGTAAATGTTTGTTTTGTTATTTTCATGTACAATGAGAGAGTGCTTGCCAATGACCAACTAAATGGATATTTGAGGTGAATTTGCATTGTGAGACCCGGTTGAGTAAGCCCCAAAAATACCGATTTTACACATTTTTTAAATAAAATTAGAACGGCACTGATAAACCGGAATTTAAGTCGGCCATATTTGAGGCCCATCGCGGTGGACCTAAGATTTTTGATATGCTCCTTCCTTAGTCTTCTAATTCAAAGAATTTTATTATAGAC